GAATTATACAAACAGTTTCTTATTGTGGTGGGGTATTACCTGAAAATTTTGGGGGCTGGTGTATAGGCTTCAAGGATTGGAAGGGGGGGGGGGGGGGGGTGACAAAGAAAAATATAATTATCAAGAGTTTCATAAACTACAAACAGAATGAGGTCCTAGGCATTAGTAAACAATTTCAAGGGAACAGTGCTATAAATAGGTTTCAGAACCACTGCTCTAATATATAAATCATATATAAAAGGAAGGGATGAAATCACCTATTCATTATACGGGGTACTTCCATTTTCAATTATATTCAATTGCCAAGTGAAAGTCGGTGATCTATTTACTTTTTCCAAAAATCAAAACATGAAATTTTTAACAAAACTCCTAAGACATTGAGAGAGTTGCTTGAGATTGTGTGATGTGTGTCCGAGTCCTAGAACAGCGGAATTGATGGTGTGCAGCATATCCATGTTTGTACAGTATTCGTAGTTGTAGTTAAACACAGAGAACTCTTGTTGTCACAATAAAACATTACAAATTTAATGCTATTTTTATTATTATTATTATCACTATTACTACTACCAACTCAGGGTCGGTCCTCCGATGTAAGGGAGACAATATAAATATATATTTGTTCCTGCCTTGTTATATTTCATCATGTATAGGCAGTTATATTTTCCTCACCTTATTTTCATCCTCATCATTGAGTTTATTTCCAGACGCCACTCTTAACCTTTAAACCCCTCCCATTATGTCTCTGAATTTCATCCTATTCAATTTTTTAGAATTATTATTATAGTTATACTCAATAACACAGTTGAATATCGCTTGTCTTCATCAATCATATGATGTGTTCATAAGTCATGATTTTTTTCCTTAATTAAAAATATTGTAGTTATTCTTTTCCTCTCTGTCATCATAGCTGGGTGCCACGCCACCACCATCCCCCCCCCCCTCTCTCTTTTTTCCTACTGTCAGTCTATACCTGTCCGCCTTTTTTCTCTCTCCCTTCATCTCTCTCTATTTCTTCCCTCCTATCTTTTCTTCCCCACATAAGAAAAGGTTGTTGTTTTTTTTTTCTGTTTTTTTTTTTTTTTTTTTTTAATTATCAAATCCTCATGAATGTATATCTTTCCAACGAACCAATTTTTATTTGAAAAAAAAAAAAGAATATAACTCACAACATGCAATTTAATTCATCTACATTTTAATATGCGAAATTTGAACTGAAATTGCTTTGTGCTTTCTTTATATTGTCAAATGAACACAATATTTTACTAGTAAAGTTCATATTTTTAAAAAAAAAAAAATTTCAACTTCAACTAGTTGATAATTAATGAGGTGGCAAGACTTAGACTTTGCCCTTACTGAATGTTTCTCACTTGTGGCTTTTTTTATAGCCAGAAATAGACACTAAGGGTACTAGATCTAGCTATATTTGAAGTCTTACATTCATAGTTTTCACACAGACATTGAAACTATGTGAACCTACTTTTTTTTTTTTATAGGGAAAGGAGAAAATGAATGTTGAAATTTTTCATGTATATGGTCTTAAAATGCTTTTGACATAATAAATTAGGAAACATTAATTGCTTTGTTCTCAAGTCTGATTTATTTCATGTTTGTTTTGTGAATCCCCTTTGTGTGGTCTGGTGGGAATTAATTTATGGGCTGGTTTGTTTGTTTTTGTGTGGATTCAGTTGTGGGTTCTTGTGGATTTTTTGTAAGCTGGTGTGTTTTTGTAATGTTGTTTAGTGTTGGCTAGCTGTTTCTTGTGGATTGTGTTGTTTGTGAGAGCTGATGTTTTGTGAGGGCTGGCCCGTTCTTGCTGATTTTTTTAAATGTGTGGGTTGGTGGATAGGTGAGTTAATGAAAGTGAGAGAGTTGGCAAGATTATGGCATGGGCGCCCGCAGGGGGGGTGGGGGGCACTTGCCCCTCCCCCGATTGATTGGATCAAAAAAATTTAAACAAAAATAGACACAAAATTAATTAAAGCAAAGAGAAAATAAAGAGAAAGTAACTAAGCTGATGTCCGTTCGTATACCATACAAATACGCTACAGTAAATTAAAACTATATTAAAACATTACTAAAAAAAATTTGCCCCCCCCCCTGGAAAGTTAATCGATTTTNATCAAGTGGCACTGCTCCCCCCCCTCCCCCCGAAAAAAATCTGAAGTGCCCCACCCGGGGGAAAATTTCTGAAATAATCACTGGTCAGGACCAGCAGGTCTTTCAGCACTTCTGATCAGGGCCGTGGTACTGAAAACAAACGCTGCACCCAGGGCAATTCCTGAATTTAGGAGCCCTCTTTCCAAAAAAAATTAATACATATATGTGTCATGAACAAAAATAATATTTCCTATGCCTCTGCGCACACCCCCCCCCCTTTTTTTTTTCTAGCGTTGCCAGGTACCTTTTCCAAAAATATGCCTAGGCCAATGCATGGATTGTGCATGATTCATAATGCACCATCCCCTCTAAAACCGGACAACCCGACAACCCTCTCACCCCACACAAAATACGGAAATACTGGATTCATTCATTTATGCTTACTAATCTTTATAATTAGTAAGCTGTGACAGAATCATGTATACATAATCTCTAGTGTCGTGTACATTAGTATTAGTCATGCTTTGTGACATTGGTATATATATAAGAATGAGCTTGGGTGACATAAAGCCAAAGGGGAGATACTATTTAAGTACGTTCGGATTCCTAAAAACAATCATAGTTATTTTCTATTATTTTACGGAAATTGAATGAATTTGAATGTGCAAAAAATATTTTACATCCGCTTTTATTTTAGTAAAAGTTTAAGTATTATTGTTATATATTACAAATACATTTAAGTATAAACTAAGGAAATATTTTAAGAATTTTATATGTGTTTAAAAGTTATGAACAAATAAAAATTATTAAAAAATCATGATCAAAGAATTACACCGTAATCACATTTATCGGGTAAATCCAAACATTAGTCGTTTTAGTGCGTCTTTTAGTGCGTTGTTAATATTGCGAAATAAAATTTTTAATTAATTTGTTCTAAATAATCACGCAAATGATGTTATAGTGCGAATAGCCTATTTCACCAAAACTCTTAGGTTTCTTTAAATTTAATAACCATGCGTGACAAAACTGATAATGTATTTTCCCTTCTGAAAAGTAAAATTAAAAAATACAATTGATTGCTTTTTTAAATTGTGAATAAAAACACACACACATTTCTGCTGTGTATATTTTAACATTTAAAAAGTTTCGCCTTTTTTAAATTCCAAAAATATGCCTTTATTAAAATTATAGCGTAATAAAAACTAACCTTTAAATATAATTCTAATAAGAAAATGCGGTGTAAGTCAAATAGTGCAGCGCAACTCCGTAGCCAAATAGCATTGACTAATCCACTTATAACTAAAACAAAAAAGAACGAGCCATATGAAGTGCAAATTATTTTAGTTTGGGTATGGAAGGGACTACGATTCGGGGGAAGATTTCTCTAAATTTATTTAAATCTAGGTGGGGGAAGGGGGGGGGGGTTCTTATCCCCATGCAGCACAATATACGTCTCAAAATAAAGGAATAAATTTGATAAATAATTAATATTCTTGGGTACATACATGTCGGAGGTAGAAAATAAGATGTGTACATTTTTACGTTGATGACAATATAGTTAACTCCTATCGTATTACATTAGTGAAAAAGTGAGGTTACATTTTCTTGTTAAAAATATGTGAATGTTCATTTTGCCCAAGTCAGCACAAGATACGTCTCAAAATAAAGGAATGATTTTTATAAAGATCTACTTTTCTTGGATAAATACATGTCGGAGGTAGGAAATAAGATGTGTACATTTTTTCCGTGGTTGACAACATAGTTAACTACTATGGAATTACATATGTGAAAAAAGAGATGTTACATACTTTTTTTACAAATATACATATGTTTAGCAATTAAGAAAATCAATGGCGTTAGCAAATCTTGTGTACATTTATATAAGTATACCCATGAATATCAAAACCCAATCATTTTACACACTTGAAAAAATAATTTTGAAAAATAGAGATGGGTTAATATTTACTTTAAAAACTTATAATATATTTTTATTTTGCAAAAAGTAAAGAGATGTTTATTTTATGAGATTAACCATTTAAATTTTAAAAAATTTTAAAAACACTCACATTTGTTATAGACGTCAAAAATGGTTATGTGATTCTTCTTTAGATAAACGAATTGTTTAATGTGTTAAATGTGTTTAAATTTTTGCTGAAGATATCAATATATATCTAATTCCCATAATATAAATTTATTTTTTTATCATATATAGAGTTTTTGGTGTAAATATAATGGACATTTTTTAAAACAATTTTTAGAGAAAAAAAAGTTGTAATACAAGGGCACGAAAAGGGGTAAATCAAAAGTATTTCTCTAACGTAGTAATTGTCCCTCAATTAACTTCTTTGGTGACAAAAGTAATATAATTAATGATAATTTAGACTGTGTAATTTAAGGTCGTGTTTAGAGGGGGGGGGGAGTAGTTTAGTAGCATGAAAGGGAGTAGAGTAGGCGTATAATATATAGCAAATAAATGCTTCTAAAATTTTAATTACGTTTGAAACGTAAATATCATTACATTTTAAACATCACATTTGTGATGAGTTTTTGTAATAACAGTTAGAAATTATCGCATAAGATCTACCATTATTAACCCGATAATATCGGGTCATTTATTCTAGTTTAATATGAAAAAAACTTTTAGTTTACTTTAAAATCAAATTTAATGCGATAATTGAGGTCACCGTGATTTTTATTTATTTTTTTATTGTTTTAGAATTGAATTTTAAGAATTAAATATAGTTGATTTGTATATATTTTCTTCACTATTCTAATTTTTAAAAAAAAAATATTTTTTCGTGTTTATTTTAATGTTACAACATTTTTTTAACCAAAAACTACTAATAGCGATACATCAAGCTCGTTTGATATTACCTCTATTTATAATCACTTCCGCCTTGATTAGATCATTGATTACGATTACCAAAACAAACCTAACACTGACAGCCTGGATGTAAAGTTTTCCGTGAGTAATATCAGTTTTTTTAAGCATCTGATGTCAAATAAACTTTTAACTGCAGAATTATCTCTAAATTATGTTATTTGAGGAATTCCTTGAGATACTTATAATATAAATATAAACTAATAAAAGTTATAAGAATAAGAAGATTGACGGTGACGGCAAGTAGTTTTGAACTAGTTTTGATTTTTTGAAGTAACAAAAAAAAATTAAAAAGTAAAAAAGGTAGACGTGGTTTAGTACTTGATAATAGTAACTTATACTTAGGGAATAGTTCACTTGAGTAGTCTTTAGTTGGTAGTACTTAGAAGTAGACATTATCGTGGTATTAGTCTTAGTTATTTTATGTAGATAGTAAATAGGCCGGCCTACTTGAAACTTATTTATTAAACCTATACTTATACTTATAGGACTTGATTAATATTACAGTTACAGTTAAAAAGTTTAAGACTTTTCAGTTTCAGTCTTAAGTTTTTTTTCAGTTATGGAGGGAGTAAGACCAGTGAAACATCTGTATGTGAGATGAGACTGAGATACTTTATTTTTATTTAGCCTAGGTGTAGGCCCTAGAACTTAACTAGAAGTTAGAAGGGCCTCTAACTCTAATGTTTCAGATGTTAGGATTAGCCCTATGGCATTACTTTATAATTTATATCATAGGAATCAGAAACTCAGTAGACCGAGTAGGAAAACCCAATGGGACTAAATTATTAATTTAGTGGTATCTTGTCTACAATTTACTGATTTAGTCACTTAAACTTAAGTAAGGTAAACATTGTCAGCCACTGAGACTGAGTCACAAGTACAAGCATTTCATTTATAATTATACTTTATATTTTAATTTAAATCATTAGGCCAGGCTGGTACTAACTTAGTAACCACTATATTAAATACCGAGCCTACTATCCATTTAAAGGGTCTAATTATTAGATGAGATAAAAGCTGGAAATATTTATTACTAAATAACTAACTACTAATACTTAAGAGAATACTAACAGTGGCAGAGAAGTCTTCACTTCACGCTTTTACATTTGACATTTCTGTGTCACAATTTACACATTTTTAACAGACAGCACATTTTTCTGCCTTTGCTGGACAAATTCAACAAATAACCTGAATAGAATGAAAAAACAGCATACAGCTGTGTTCATAAATTTTTCAGAAAATAAATACTTTCTTTTGACCAGGTTGTTCACTTTAGGGAGCCATTAACTTAATGCATTAACTTAGCGGTACCCAAACATTTGCTTAATCTAGGTTTTCCTCTGTCACAAGTACTCTGCCAAATAGCAAACATTTATTTTTAATGAAAAGTTTAATTTTTTTTAAAGTTATAAAAATGAACACATACAAACAAAATGTAATGGAACAAATCGAACAAATTTTCCACCTTGATTTTTTAAAAAAAAAATCAGCTTTAAACAAAGAAGAGGTATTGAAAAGCTCAGATCTTTACCACTCCGAAGAAGATTTTTCATCCTCACTATTTAAATAATTTCACTTAACTTATTTTAAACAATAATATTTAGCTGATAAAGTCTTTTTAACTCCAAGTATCAAGTAAGTTTGACAAAATAGTAAAAGAATCGATTCAGTAACCTGTTTGTTGAAAGTCATATAGTAACCATTTGCAGAGTTTATGCAAACAATTATTAGTCTGTGAGTGACTAATCTGATTACATTGAATTTGAAAATGGAAATAAAATCTTGACCCACTGTTTCTTTAAATAGAATCAACATACCTGGAGAAAATTATAAAAAAAATTCTCCAATGACCCAATCATAAGCCGACCACCCCATTTTTTCCTCTGAAATATTTTTTTTTTTAAATTTCAGCAAGAGTGAGTCTTTACCATGCACTCTCTTTCTTTATTCTTTTAACCATTGTAAATGGGATCAGTATTTTTCTCATAATTGAAGTCTAAACATAGATTTTTCATATTGAATGGGTTTATTTTATAAGTTAAACTGGCTGCATACAAGATTTTTATCTGAGGAGTTTAAGCTGACCTGAATGTTGTAAAATACCATCAAATCACGCATCCTTTTCAGAAAATGATAGACTATAGTGCCATGAAATTAAAGCTTGTGAATTATTTGAACACTTCTTTAGAATACCTAATAGTTTGCCATTATGATGGAGCATTGGATGAAATACAACATTCATAATGATGTATGATGTTTTCTTCATTGTAGTAAATCAGTAAAAAGTCAAAGAGACTTAAAGAAAACTCTACTAGTTAATTAGAATCAACTAATGCCATGGATTATTCAAGATACCAAATATTTCATAGATGTTGTATTGGGCGAGGCCACTAGATATTGAAAGATTCTGAGTGGCTGTGTGCTGATCTTTTTGGCAGTCACTTCAGCAAACAAACAAAACTGTTTAAAGACTTCTGCAAGTGACAAGTAACCTTCACCTTAAACTTGCAATACTGTAAGGATGGGAGCATATTTGGCTTCATGTCTTGCGTTGGTCAATGGATTAGCCCAGGGCATCTCAAATTATGTCATCTTGCTGCACATTCAATCATTCAGTAATTTTTCATTTGTTTAAGAATACAGTGGAGTTTTTTTTAATAATGGAAAGAAAAAGAAATGACATTCCTCTTCATTCATCTTGAGTGTTCTGATAAATTTGGTACTTTGAGATAAAGAAGGCTCCATGCAATCCAGTTTATTTCACACTAGGGATGAAATGTTTGTCATTGCTTTTGAATCACTGGTTTTGTTGATTCTCGGCCCAATTATATGTAAATAGCTTGCTATGAATAGCATTACACTATTCTTGATATTGGATGATGATGTAGTTTTCGTCCTTTACAGACATTATCCATATTAAACAATGGATATATTTAAAGACATTTTGTTTTCTTTCTTTTATATTGAAAATAGTTAAAGGATGCCTCAAATTTTCCTTCTGTTTTTATATATATATATATATGTGTGTTTACATTTGTATGTGAGTGTGTGTGTGTGTGTATGTATATATATATGTAAACACATATATATGTATGTATATGTGTATATATATATGTGTATAATATATATATGTACGTATATGTGTATATATATGTGTGTGTATATATATGTATGTATGTATATGTGCGTATATATATGTGTATGTATATGTGTATATATATATATGTAAATAAATATATATATGTATATTTATATATATAAATGCCAATGAACTTGTTAATCTGTTTCAGCTAACCATAGACATTGTTCAACTTAGTCTTAATGAAACCTACATTTTTTTTTCTTTTTGCATTCTGTCTTTGGTGATTAAAGCTTTTTACCTACAGTAGTTATGTTTTTCTTCTGCCTGAGAAAATCTGGGCTGATGAGTCCACCCCACACTACTACCAGTCTTGTAGCTGTGGACGACCCTGAAAGAATTGGAACCTGCTACACCTTAGTCAAAATTTAGACTTGTCACCAATGCACCACATGGGCCATTTCATTCCCTTTTATAAAGGTTATGCTTAAGGAAATGAGTGGTAGTCTTCTGATCCTTAAAATGTGTCAATTCTTTTATCATCCAGGTCAGAGTGCTTTTAAAGTTCAAAGAGTCATGCATTAACTGCAAGCAGAAGACGCTTGACTGGATAAATAGAGCAAACATTTAAAGAAAGAAGGGTTGTCTATAACTGCAATGCAACAAGAATTTCTGACTTGAATCATCAAAGATCAAAGTATTCTCTTGCTGCAAGATCAGTTCCTTTAGAAAGAAAGTGTTGTGAGGAATAATCCTACTGGTGCACATGACAATGGGGTCCACAGGAACAGACGATCAGTACGACTATATCTGGAAAGGTACTTGATGCTTGGATTTTTATTGGCCATTACTTGTCGTATTATTTCGTGTTAAGGTTAATAAAAATCAAATTTTCAACCGAAGTATCAGTCATATTGTCAGGTCTCCTTGCTCAAAAGAAGATGAAGTCAGTTAAGCAGTTAAGAAACCATAAAATAATTATTTAAACTGTGAATGGTTGCACATCAAATGATTTTTATGTGACTCTTTCATTATTCTATTTTATGATTTATTCATATATTTTTTTAGTTGTGCTTGTTGGTGACTCTGGTGTTGGCAAAACAAATCTACTGTCTCGATTCACCAAGAATGAATTTAACAGTGAAAGTAAAAGTACAATTGGAGTTGAATTTGCCACAAGGTTGGTACATTTTATTGACTTATAAGTTGGAGGTTGCAAGGAAAACTTGATTTATTTTTTCAATCAGGAGGACTGATAAATTCATAGAGAGGTTGATTTAGCATGCATGTAACTATTTAATGTTTAAGATTTTTTTTTCTTTTCGTTTGCATTCCAATTCTTGGGTCTTCCTAACATTTTAATGATATGATAAACAAATTCTTTAGTTTTAGATCAAGGTGGTTCAGTACACACAACTTGAGGAATTTGGGGGATGGCCTGGAGGGAGAGTCAGTTTGTTTATCTCACATGTGGGGTGGCCTGGAGGGAGGATCAGCTTGTTTATCTCACATGTGGGGTGGCCTGGAGGGAGGATCAGCTTGTTTATCTCACATGTGGGGTGGCCTGGAGGGAGGATCAGCTTGTTTATCTCACATGTGGGTTTCGTCTAGAGGGAGAGTCAATTTGTTTATCTCACATGTGGGTTTCGTCTAGAGGGAGAGTCAGCTTGTTTATCTCACATGTGGAGTGGCCTGGAGGGAGAGTCAGTTTGTTTATCTCACATTCGGGGTGGCAAGGGCGGAGAGTCAGCTTGTTTATCTTGCATATGGGTTTGGTCTAAAGGGAGAGTGAGCTTGTTTATCTCACATGTGGGGTGGCCAGAGGGGCAGGCTGTTAAAATGGTGTTACTGAGGTTATTTACTTGATTTTTTTTTCTCAAGGCATGTCACCATTAAAGGGAAAACAATACGAGCCCAAATCTGGGACACAGCAGGACAAGAGAGGTACAGAGCAATAACAGCAGTGTGAGTACAGTCGGGATATTTTGCGTTAGTTTAGTTTAGGAATCTTTCTATATAGGTTTACCAGTAAACTTGGTTGGGTTAGTATGTTTGCGAATATTTTTTTTTCTAAGAAAAAATAATAATTTACAAAACATACTATTCCAAACAAGTCTACTAGTGCCCCTATGTATACCAAAAATATTCCTAATTTCATCCTCATTCTAGTTTAATACTTAACAAAGACAAGAATTTCTGTGCAAAATTATAAAGATTATCTTAAGCTCTTGATATTTATTTTAACTATAAACATTTTTTTTTTATAAATAGCATTTATCTGTGTTATTACAAATCCTATCTTGGATGAACTTTGAACCGTAATTGCTAATTTTTATGTGAAGTGCAGTGAGCCTAGCCCTAGGCTGGGGTACCTGCACTGTATAAAACCACCTTAATAATAATAATAATAATAATAATAAACTAGGCCAGATTTTTATTTAATTTATGTGTAGTCTATTGTCTCGATCTACAACAGCACCCTTGAGGATTCTGTTTGTTTATACATATATTTTTTCAAAAAGATAGTTTCTTGTCACGTAACTGTCATAGGTTACTGTTGTTGAAACACTGTGCAGGTCATCCTGTTACCATACAAATCAATTCACCCATTTTACAGGTATTACAGGGGAGCGGTGGGGGCGCTGGTTGTTTATGACATCACAAAGAGTCAGACTTTCGACAACCTCTGCAAGTGGCTCCAAGAACTGAAAGAACACGCCGACAGCTCGGCCAGGATCATGATTGTCGGGAATAAATCAGACCTTCGTCATTTGAGGGCTGTCACTCAGGAGGATGGGCGTTTGTTAGCAGGTGATCATGGAACTTTTGAAATGTGGTGTACTGCTACTGTTGCATATCTAGCCAGTATCTAAATTCTATCTCTACAGCTATACTGTTTTCTCATCTAAAATCTATCTCGACAGTTATACACTCAGGACGACGAGCGTTTGTTAGCAGGTGATCATGCAAATTTTGAAATGTGGTGTAATACTGTTGCATATCCAGCCAGTATCTAAATTCTATCTATCTCTACAGCTATACTGTTGTCTCATCTTAATTTTATCTCTACGGTTATACATTTGTCCTATCTACATTTGATCTCTTTAGCTGTACATTTGTCCCATCTTTAATTTGTCTCTATAGCTATAAAATTGCCCTGTCCAAATAATTTATAATGTTAAAGGGAAAAAGTCCTTAAGTTGTTTTAAATGTAATAATTTGAAAATGTTGAGCTCTTTATTAAACTTATTTTTTATTTTTTCTTCTTAGAGAAATACAAGTTTTCTTTTATAGAGACCTCAGCTCTTGATGCCACTAATGTTGGGGAAGCATTTAATAATTTGCTTGTCGGTGAGTTGTCTTGCCTTATTTAAAAACATCAACCAAACATTATAATCTACTATGTAACTTGCCTGCAAAATGGCCTTGGACAGCTCCCATAAAGAATGTAAGCCATCCTCATCCAGTGAGCTGCAGCAGTTCTCCACTATAAAGTTAAATGGAAGAGTTTTTTTTGGTTTTTTTGGTGATAATCAGACCCTATTTTTAAAACAGATATGATTATTAGATGAAAAGTTACAGAATTAAAAATTAATGTTAGCATAATATCCAAAAGTTCCCCCACTCTTGTGGCACTGTAAGCCCATAGAAACTTTAAGAGGAAATGGTCTAAATGTGCCATTGGTTTACCTCACAGTTGAACTTTGAACAGCCCTTCTTTGAATGCATGTCTTGTTTATCCTTGGCTGTGGTCTGCAGGTGTGTTTAAATACCAACGTAGCCTATGATTAGTCGGACACTCTTTTTTTTTTTAAAAATTTTATCTTTCATTCCAGATATCTTTAAATCCCAAGTAGAAGATCCCAATGCTCCGCAGCCATCACATCCTCAAGGCTCTAGCCACAATGGACAAAACTTGAGTCGGGTCCAGCTCCCCAGAGAAGAATCCACTCCCAATCAGCAGGAGGGATGTTCGTGTTGAGTTGATTTCACTGCTGCGTGTCGTTTGCATTTTTTTTAGTGTCAGATTAATTATCTTTTTGGTGTTGTTTTATTGTCTGGGTTTCAGAATGACAGCTATAATTTAAAAAATTCCTTTTCTTTTATTGAGGTTATAAAAGTTGTCTGCAGTAGTTGAAGCCCATAGCCGTAATGGAGTGGGTCTGATTTTAATTTTTTAATTTATTTTTAAAAAGTATTATTTTGTTAATTTATAATTATAAAGTCAGTTTTCTAAATTGAATTAAAACATTAAATCTAATGTCATGGAAAGTTTGATCTGTATGTCACAGAAAATTTGATCTGCATGTCAATGAAATGAGTTGTTGAAACAAAGTCATAACATATCTAGAAAATTTTTAAACTGTGATTGTCCATGCTTTCAAATAATATGAGATTGTTGCTGCGGAAATTTTCTATTTGAGCTAATGCTGCTTCTGATTCTTATTCATGCCTCTGATTCTTATTCATGCATAGATTTGTAGATATTGCAGGCTACATAATCATTTTTGTTTTTTAAGTCAATTTTTACACTATGAATCATTTGTACGTGACATGAGCCATCTGTTCATATTGTGAGTCACAAGGATACATGATGTGACATGTCGAAAAGGAGTCACATGTACACATCATGAGCCATTATATCAAGAAAATCATTAAGATATTGCATAGCTGTAAAAATTCTGCGTCCAATATTTATTAATCCCCCCCCCCCTTTCCATTCAAAGGAACTGAAAAATTTTAATAACCTTTGCCTTCAGCTTGTAACAGAGTCATTTCATAAAAGGAGTCACATGTACACATCATGAGCCATTATATCAAGAAAATCATTAAGATATTGCATAGCTGTAAAAATTCTGCGTCCAATATTTATTAATCCCCCCCCCCCCCTTTCGATTCAAAGGAACTGATAAATTTTAATGACCTTTGGCTTCAGCTTGTACCAGAGTCATTTCAATTACTGTCTTAGCATTGCATTAAACTGTCTTGAGGATCATCAATCTTAATAAAGTTCAAATATAAACCATTCCCACAATGAATCTCATGAATACGTAGCCAGCCTCCAAGGAGAGTATGACGAGATGATGACAAACCAGCATGTTGATTTTTTTTAATTCACATACCCACAGGAATATGCTGGCTTCTTATTTTGGGCCTCATCTTGTATAAATGGGGTGGGGCCCTTTTTTTCTTTCTTTATGGCCATAAAATCAAGAAATTGGAATGACATGTGAAAGGTACAGCCATAAAGATAACAAAATATCTGGATAATATTTATTGCTCGTTCAAAAGCTGAAAAGTTATTTTAAAATTCTGATTTCAATTGAATTATTGCTGCAGATAGTTGTCATTTGATGAGTCTGTGAACTGTAAAATTCACCATTGGAGCACCAAGCCAACATGAAGCAATATTTGCTACAACTCTGAAGTGGGTACGGGTATTGGATAAGATATCTCATAACTAGAAAATATCTCATTATCAGTGCATTAGATTTATCCAGTGGTGCTTGAGCTGTTAGCATGCCTTCATGGGTCAAAATTTATTTAAATATATGAACTAGCAGCAGTGAACTTATCCTGTCAGTTGTAGAAATGGTTTTGCACAAAAAGGAAGAGCTCTGTTTATTTCTCTCTTGTTGTTGTAAAGTTGTATGCATTATTATTTACTTTTCCTAGATAGCTCTAAAAATTGTTATTGCATTCTACACATTTTTTTTTTTAAAGTGTTGTTGGTTTCAACCGTTATAAATGTTAGAACGGAGTTCAATCACGGTTTTGGTGCAAACAAAAAAAAGAAAGAGATGCCAAAAGTTAAAAGAATACATTGGTTCATAAAATGTTAAAAAAATTATGCTGCACACATTAATTACTTGACAACATGAATTTACAAAAAGCGCTAAATGGAATATGTACAATTTTCTTCTTAAAAAATTGCAGTCATCAACAAAATTTAGTGTTGCTTGCGCTGTACTGCTTGCAGGCCAGGTGGTACTCCTGAAGGTCTGATCCATCTGATTCTGCTACAAGCATATTTTTTTTTTAAAGATAAATTAATTGCAATGATTCAACCTTTAAATATAAAATATTCAACCTTTGACCTACTAAATTTTGTTACGATTCAACCTTTTTTTAAAAAAAACAAACAAATTCTTTGCATGCTTTATGTTTGCTTTGCATTTTTATTAAGGGAAAAGGTGTAGCTCTTCGTGTCCCTGATTGCTGGCTATCTAATCTTGTATTTTTGAAATTCAAAATCCTAAGTCAGTCCAAACTCAAAAGTACTTTTTTCCCACTTTTTAATATTTACAAAAATTTATGGTTGTATGCTGTCTCTGCAAGTAAAGCATATTTTTACACATGGTATTGTACTCGCCTTCATGTTTCATTATCGAAAACATGGCGTTCAAAGATGACAAAGTATTTAAACAGCACACCGCTTGAAAAACAAACTTAAATGTTGAAGTTATTGTAGAATAAGATCTGCCCAAGCTGTCTCTTTGTCCAGCATATATGAAGTAAAGCTTTTTGGGGGAGTAGGAAATGAATTTCTTGTCAGAAATACTATTACACAATCAAAGGATGTTAAGCTGAGTAGAGGACATAACTATAATTTTTTTTGTTAAAAGGAACAGGAATGCTATCATTCTAATTCTAAACTAAATTACTTTAATTACAATGTGTAAAGACCAGAAGGCAAATGATTACAATTACGTAATTTTAATTTTTGAAGAAGATTACAAACTAAAATACCCTTGTTTTTTTTTAATGCAGATCTTGAAACTGTTGTCAAACATTGGTAATTTCCCTTGCAAGCTGAAAAAAGAGACTTAACAAATAAATATTTTTAAGTACCGGTAGAGAAAATTAGTCATATTTATTCTCTGGTACAAGTTCACCATATAATATAGCAATACAAAATCACGAAAGTTGAAAAAACATGATTATTGAAGAATGTCATTAAGTGATATGTTGATTTTTTATTATACTATTTTAAAATATGAAAATTGTGAAACGTTTATAAAATATAAAAGTTAACTGATATATTGTAATTTTTTTTTTAATTTCAAAAGCTTTCATTATCTAAATGAGGAGTTCTTAACCTTTGTAGTTGCATGGACCATTTGCCAGTCAGTTGAAGGCCCTGAGCTGCTTCCGAGATTAAAGGTTTTCAAATGCATACCGGTATTTTAAAATGACAAAGGAAATTCAGATATCTGGCAGAATGGAGTATGTGGACCACAGACAAAGAACCCCTGACTTAAATACTCTGGTTTTTCATGGTACTAGTTATACATAGTTTATGTAGCATACTGTTGTGGTCGGCATTTGTGACTTTTTTTTTTTAGTACCAGTGAGAACAAGATAAGCTCAGGTTCACATGGCACGTCTTATCATCTCTGACAGCTTAGTGAACTGCTGTCATTTTATCTCGACCACCAGCGTGATAACAAAATTTCATTTTGAGTTCTCACTGTACCCAACTTATGTATGACGTGAGCTCTCACTGTAATTAAATTATGAATGTCCTTTCAGGTCATACTGTGCCCAGTTGGTGTCTACCGCTAATACTGTTTCAGGTCCTCTCTGCTCAATTTTATCAAGTCAGTCTTTAAATCTATGGCCGTCCATGATTACCCTGGCTCCTGGGAGACTTTCCTCAATCAATTTTTCTTTTTATGAATAGTCAATATGTTTGATGGGGGAAACAACACAAATTTATTTTAAGAGATGTAATATTGAAAATGTTAATTTATAATATTCCTTTCATTTAACATATTTTAAATTCTGAATAAAAAAGCTTGGTTTTTCCATACATTTTTTTGTGGTGTATCATTTGGCCTACTGGAAAAAGAAACACCACTGCAGACTTATTTAGTAAAAAAAAAAAATTTTAATATTTATTTGAAAAAAAATATCCTGTGTTTGAAAGTAATATTAACATGTGATTAATACAATGTCTGTTTCTATTTACAATTTCTAAAACTATCATTTAGGTGTCTTAATGAAATTGTTTTTTATCTATACCGGAATCTCTTGATAGATTTTTCCCCCGTGTATTATGATTTTGATTAATCCTCAATGATTTCAATTTTTACATAGTTTCTAATGCATAACTGATTTTACTTGTATTGCATTTGTAGCTTAAAATGTCAGTGAGACATCTCTTTATTCATAGTTTTTGACATATTTGATGAGAACTGTTTTACTGTAAATATTTTATATATTAACTATTCAAGTTTTATTGTTTTATATTGATGGATTGACATTTTATTTATTTAAAACTAACCATACAAATTAAATACATGTTGCATATTGTGACAGTGCGCATGAGAAGTTGCAGTCATCATCTTTGCTATTTAACGGTAGAATGTCGGGTGTGGGTATGAATTACCTTTTCAAACTTGAATAGCAGCAGAGGCATTATTCAAATGAAAACTTAGCCAAGGGTTTTTGTTGCTTTTATATATGTTGTCTTCCAGAACAGTTTAAGATATTTTGTATCTTTAAATTATGAATGCAAACCGAGTTCTCTCAAGTTCTCTCCACACCAACTCCTATTAACTTTCTTGTAACATTAATAGTGATTTTGGAAAACTGAATACCGGTACCTTTTTTTTTTTTTTTTTTTTTTTAAAATCTTCACTATATCTGAAACTCCCATCAAATGGAGAAGCATATCCCTGGCATATCAACTAAGCAAAAGCCCCACCCCCTTTTCAGTACTGTTTATGCATCTGCACTCTAGATGATAAACATTAGAACTGAGTCAAAGCTGATATGATTAAATATATATAAAAATTTTAAGCCCCTTTTAGAAAAAATTAATGCACATTCTATAATAGAATCATGCTTTTCAAACCTTTTCACTGTGACTGAGTCATCCACATTACAGCAGAGTGCGTGTGGACTGGTATCATGACAGACCACTACAAGGTGAAAAGCAATTGTACTTCTAGAAACCCTAGCCCACCGCTGTGGCCTGGTATCATCACAGACCATTAACAAGATGAAAAAGCACTGTTCTTCAAAGAGACGCTAGACACAGGCTGTGCTTAAGAACTGTTGACAATGCACTGCATTTGCCTTTAGTGCTGTTGTTTGCTTATTATAATGTATTTACAAAAAATGGTCAGGAAAAGACATTTAATATTTGATTTTATCTATACATCTGGATGCAGTTTGCATTTCTCAGCTCTTGTACATAAAAGTTGGAAAGGTAATTTTTTCTAAAAATAAACTACCTTGTAACACATTTATGCTCATTTTGTTTTTTTTTCATCGAACAATATTGAAAATCATTATTCCTAATTATTTTATTGAAATAAATTAACACTTTGGTTTTTGAAGTTACAAATAGCTAAAGCAAAAGAAGTCCATATTTAAATGCAAATATTTTAATATGAAAATGGCGAGTTTCAAGCTATTCAATTGAAAAACAAAAGTTATGAAATTAGTCATTAAATACATTTTACACACATCACAACAGTAGTGGCAAAGACTGATCTTTACTACAGTACAGGCCAGTTTGAGTTCCAGCATTATCAAAACTTATTTTTAACTGTCACAATATTACATGTTATTTCATGAAAATGTACACAAGGACTAATCAGTAATTTAGACATTTAAAAAATTTAGAATTTAGAAAAATAGCACATTCATTAATACTTTAGAGTTTAAAAAAAGAGGATAGCTTAATTTGAGTTCAGCATTCACGCACATAATTTATTTTTCCATAAACCATGCAACACAAGTTGCTATGTACAAATTGTTTACACAACATTGTTCTTATTTGCAATGACTGAAAAAATTCAAAGGATACCAATCTCTTTAAGTATATTTTTCAATAAAACTTCCCTCTATAAGTATAAATAAGTGATTGTTATAAGCAAAAATTAATATTTAGTCACATTTAAAGTTAAATGAGCATTTTTTTAAATGACATGCATTTGATATTGAATAAAAGAATCTGTATGATCCCCATTAAAAAGAAGTAGCATCTCAAAGAGGCAGTGATGTGGCATATTATTGTGAGGATTCACTGTTATCAAATGAAATATAAAGCAAGAAATTTTTTGCGAATTTTATCTTGAAAACAAAGTATTTTTATTTAAAAATGTTCATTTTGAACCGCCTCAAAGTGAAAGCAAATTAGCTAGGTTCTTCACTATAGGGGAAATCCTTTTAATGAGTTACTGGCTTAGTGATGTTGCATATTGTAACTTTAATTGTCAGGTATTCATCTTTTTCGTAAGGTAATTTGTCTTAAGATTGTGTAATTTAATAAAATATATGCAAATACTTTTTAAAAAAGAATTAAATGAAAGTAAAATTAAACAAAAACTTCTTTAAAAAAAAAATAAACAGAAAATATGCTAAATAATTTAATATTTTCATCTAATATTCCGCTGCTTATTAATTGTTCATAATTAAACGTGATTTAAAAACAAAAAGCAAGCATACAATATCTTTTCTCACTTTACAAAAGGCTGAAATAAAAGGAATGTCTTTTAAAATAATGATCTTCTTTTACAAAATAACTATTGATGCAGAAGGGTAATTTTGAATAACCGGTATAGGACATTTTCCCTAGTTAACATCTTACAAACAGGAACATCCACGGGGGATATAAGCATTGCAAATTTCCGACAGTTTCTTTTTCAAGCATTCATTACACGATGGATTCTTTGTTTGGAAAAAAAAAAAACAATTACTCTACAAAATCTATTTAAGACATCATTAATGAGATGCACACTGTACCCGCTGACCTCCAGGATGTTCATCATCAGAATCATAGGCTTCACCTGGATGACTTCCTCTATGATGTACGTGATCCTGGCTTGAATCAAAATTTTGTAAAGTACACTCCTCAGCTGAATCTGGTATTATAATTTCCTGTGCAATCAAAAAAAAATTTTCATTCCAAGGATATCCTTATAAAAGACTGATGAGGGATTATTTTAAGTCCCTCATTATCAATAGTTAACTCGTAACAAAGTAAGAGCTCTTCAGGAGCAATAATGTTATTTTAATTTACCAATGCCACCATGATCTTGAAACATTCCAATCAACCCTTAACAGATTTTTTTTTTTTTTTAAATCTATAAATCAACCTCACCAGCTCACATTAAATATGTTAGATTTTTAAAACAAATTTTACCTGTCTTGGTGGCAGAACTGTTTCTAATGTAGGAATGTCACTGGGAGAGATTTTTTCAGGGAAGTTCACCAAAAATTGAATAATGAGTCGTCCTTTCTCAAAAGGGTCTCTGTAAACTGGCATTCCCTCCCCCATGACACACTTGACATCCTGATGTTTAATAACTTCACCTGAGGAAAAATTTGACTGTTAGATAAAAAATTGTGAACATTCTGAGAAATTCTATACATCAGAGAATATAAACAACACTTGTCAACTTGAGATACTGAGAAAAATTTACTCAGGGAATCACAGGATATTGAGAAATATAGCTCTGCTTTGAGCATCATTTGTTTTAGTATGAAAATTAACTTTTTTAAACATGAGATAATTGCATTTAGTTTGGAAATCGTTTTTTATTTATAATTGCATTATTTTCCAAGGTTATGATGATTTCAATTCTCTACACAATGTCCTATCATCAGTGTGGTCTCCTCAATTAGGCCAGTGGCTTGAAAATTGCCTGCTTCTCTGTGAAAAATTTAATGGCAATAAACTCATGGTATAAAGTAAGCTGAGTGATGCAGGACACTAGACCCAGAGCTGGTACCAAAGGTTTCATCCCAGTGACTTTCTTCAGTTAGGACTGTCATATTTGTTCAATATATAAATATAAAAGAATATATCAGCCAAATCACAAATCCACAAAGACAATATATGTATCTTGTCAAATCACAGGCTGCAAGAAATCAGTTTTAAGTTCTCTGGTTGCCAATAATTAATAATCTTTTCTCTACTTTTAGCTGACACATTGTTTTTTTTTAAAAAATCAAATATATCAACCCTGCTAAAATATAATGTGAATATTAAAAAAAAACATACCAGGTAAATTAGTGATAACCAATGTCCTGGCATCTAGAGTCTGCACAGTTTTCTGAAACCCGCACAATGCTTCAACTAATTCCAGATTCATTGTCATAATGAGGTCATGGCCACGCCGGCGGAATCTCTCATGTTCTTCTTCGTCTAGTACAATAACAATATCCCCTGGTTCAAGGTCAGGTTCTTGGTCCCCCTCACCAGAGAAACGAATTTGTTGATTGTCACGCATACCTATTTTTATGAAACAAAATAATTTACAATTAGTTTTGATTTATTTTTCAAATGAAATAGACACTGAACTTTCAATGATTCATTCATATTAAAATCAAATATTTCCTTATCAAGGACTTGCTTCATATTATAAATTGAAGATCACCCTCAAACAATCTCATGGAAATTATACGGAACTACCTTAGTTATTTTATGTAAATCATTAAATGAAAGACATTTTTTACACATTAAAAAATATTGAGGCAAAAAAATTATCGCTTTCTTAAGTTCAAGCTGCTGAGCTAACAAAATAAAAATGTCCTAATGAGAAATATCTTACCTTTGTCAATGTGCACCTCCAAAATTTTACGCTCTTTCACAATTTTTTTCCCACTGCAAGTTTTACATCTGTGTTTAGGATCAATGACTTCACCTTCACCTCTACACTCGCCACACACTGATTGAATCTGTTGCACCATACCAGGCCCCAACTGCTGTATGCGTACTTGCATTCCTGTACCACGACAGTTGGTGCATTTCTGCACGGAACCCTCTTTTCCTCCTCTTCCTGTAGAAGTAAACACAACAGTTATACATGGCCGATTTAAAATTTCAAACCCCTTTAAACACCAATAATAAAAATAGGATGACCCCAAAATTTAATTTTGATGTTCTGCCATGCCATCTACAGCTGATCTTAAAATTCGACCCCAAAAAATCACAACTGAAATACCCATCATGGTGACAGGGCTTAACTTTGTTAAATGTCGTGCTATGTTTTGGAACAAAAGTGAAGACATAATAAAGTAGGATCCTTAAGTATTTCATATTAAAAACGTACTTGCTCTATCAGAAATTGCACTTGAACAACAAAGAATTTTTTTAAAGATAAACTAATAATTTACCTTCACATTTGTTGCAGATCACATTTTTCTGTAAGGCTAATTTTCTAACTGTTCCTTGATATAAATCTTCCAGAGAAACCTATGGAAGGAAAGATCCCCGGATATTATTTCATTGCCCTAAATATACACACAAAAAAAAACAGTGACTAACAATTGTGAGTAGGATATTATTTCATTGCCCTAAATATACACACAAAAAAAAACAGTGACTAACAATTGTGAGTAAAAAGATGCTAAATTTATCCTACTAGGTGTGAGTGAGTTATGTTCATTCATAATCCTATAACTGAGATCTCTGCATGAGAGGAGCTGCCAAGAATACAAACCAGGTAGCTTTTCAATTATTGTTTCTCAAGCATACCTGCTAGTTAAAATAAATCACAATTATCAGAATCCATTTACATGTAAAATATACAATCAATTTTTAATATGGTCTACAGAGAATTGAAAATTAATATTACACTAATTTTTGGTGAGGTTAATTAAGTATTGCAAAAAGGGCTACCATCCCAATGTAGCATGTACCTAACAAACCACAATAAGAATAAGAGCATAAGTTTTGAATAAAATGAAAAAACTAGAAATTTCTTATCTTTAAACGCTGCCTTTTATGGCATGGTACAGTTTCAAAGATAGAATTCATACAGAGCTATATAACCAAAACATGACCAAGACAAGAAAGTCTTACTTTCATTTGATGAATTACATCTTTCCCCTTTCTAGGTCCTCTTTGTGCAGCTCGTCGACCCCCACCACCACCAAAGAATATATCAAAGATGTCCATAGGAGAATGAAAGTCAAATCCACCACCTGATGCTCCACCTTTTATAGCTTCTTCTCCCCCTTTATCGTAAATTTCTCTTTTCTTTGGATCAGAAAGTACCTCATACGCCATACTTATCTGCTTGAACTGTTGGAAAACAATGATAATGCATATATAAATACAAATGCACAATTTAAAATAAAAAAGATGTTATGAAATGCAAACTTAGAAAATCAGTTAGACTTTATCCCACATATTTATAGAAGAAAAACAAAAGGTTTACAAAAATTAACTTTTTAGCACATACCTTGTCCCCAGCATCTGGATTTTTGTCAGGGTGATACTTTAAAGCTAATTTCCTATATGCCTTTTTTAACTCTGCATCTGTAGCTGTGGGTTTAACTTCCAATATATCATAATAGCCAGTTTCTTTCACCATTTTTCAATGTAAAACAATACTTTTATATTTGTGTGTGAGACCTTTCACAGGAAGCTGAAACAGAAAAAAAGGTCAAATTGATAATTAAAGTTTCTAGAGATGAGTCCAATTTAAGAAAATAAGCATTATGCACTCCATTTTAATTTAGTTTGGTAATGTGAAAAACTTAAGCCAGAAAGAATTTCATGACATATTTCAAACAAACAATGCAGTAGGTTGAATAGTCTTATTATGTCAGTCAGTCCTATCTTCAAGGCAAACACAATGGATAATCCTTTGTCATATAGAGAAGTCGGAAACCACTGTTAATTCGCTCAGCCGATCCCTAGATAAATAAATACTGAATATGTTAATATTTTCAAATGATCTGAGATACAAAAAGTGTATCATAAAAGTTTGACTCCGAATTAAAACTATTAAAATACTATTAGTAGAAGGCCTAAAGAATGTATTCTAGTCTATTTGAATCAGACTATTAAAAAAAAAGTCTGTAATTGGTTAAATATCTTACAAAGCTCTACCTAGCAACCTAAATTTAAAATATGAACCAAACAAAATAAGACCAATACTTGCCAGTTGACTTTCAATAGACCTACCTCAAATTTTTTTTTATTTAAGGCAATTAATATTGCATGAGAAGTAGGCTACCCCAACAGCACACCATATTGGCCCTATGCCTATATTAAGATGTAGGGTCTATTTCTTTGTGAACTATCCACCGCCCTGTCGCTTTCTCTCTGAATCTCAGTATTTCTCCTTCTAGTATCCATAGCTTTACCCCCCCACTTGTTGAAATAAAGTGAACTCGTCGCCCATTTGCATCTCTTGACGCCATTTGTCTGACTATTAGTGGTCATGTGACAAGAGTGACAGACAATCTATCCAGCGCAACTTTGTTACAGCAGTCATGTGACTTGGTCACAGGGCGAATATCTTGAGAACTTATTCATCCGGTCGCAGACATGTAGACACTTCTATCTTAAATCTCTGCCCAGTTTTTATGTTGGTCATTTTTTTAATACTTTCCAGAGTCCAGTTTGTCTCCATTAACAGAGTCATTCCAAAAAAGTTCATAAAAAAATCACACTCTTTTTTAAGAATTAACCTACAACCATAAATTTGTTATCAATGAATTGCAGTTTTCAGGCACTATCTTAACTATCTAAACAACTAGCTCTTAGTCTTAATGTTGAAACTTCATTTTGAAAAATTTTGCCCTACTAAACGCGTATGGAAAAAGTACCCTAGTAGCCTATTTTATTTTAAATTTATTTTAAATGATGAATCATTTTTTGTCATTTATAGTTTAAAATTTATGGCAACCGGATATTTAAAATTTCTGTCTAAGTACTCAAAAGTCTCAAAAACAGTACCAGAAGTACCTAATTTAACTTACTTTAAGTATCCAATTTAAAACACAACTTTAAACTTTAATTGCAAAAGGTCATGATCAGTTAAAAGTTAAAAGTATGTGAAAAAACATCTCATTGATAGGTAGGCCATGTCCATAAAAATTACATACTGTTAGATAGTAACTTAAACTTTAAAAAAACATGATTAACCATGTATGAGTTGAGTATATTATGTATATTGATAATTTTGTATAAGTTATAAGGCATAAAAAGTAGTATAGTATAAAGTATAAAGTATAAGCCTACCCTGCATGACCCCAAAATTTTAATTTTAATTCCTGATCCGGCAGACTAAAAAGTCTCTATCTAGTCAGTTTTCTTGTTAAACTTCCTAGATCTAAATAAATCGTAACAATGAACAAAGAAGTATAAATAATCTTGTCTTAGAATTCATCGGGTTTTCATTTTATTAGACCCAAAAAAAAAAAAAAAAGTAGAAGACTGAAGACACTGAAACTGAAGAGGGATACCATGATGATTTTCATTTCTGACGGAAGAGCATTTTCTTACCTCTTTGACTGCCTTGATTAAAAACCACTATCCAGTCAGAATAGAATTGTTAAGGAAGTTCTTTGGTGCGCCAATTAAGAATTAGCCGATATATTATAAACACTGCCTTTCTTGTGGACTATAACATCAATATATACCACCCCTAAAATCTAAAGTTGGAGAAATGCTAGGAACAGACTAGAAATTTCGAGGCATAAAAGAGCGCATGCGCAGGTCTTCCTTTTTTCTTCTGAAAAACCACGATGACGTTTTACAAGGGAAAAACTAGCCAACGTTCATTTGAGTGGTCTCCCCTGTGAACAAATAGAAACAATGTTTATTTGAAACTCCTGGGTATTTCCCAAATCGAGGGAATTTTGTATCAATTTTTTTTAGAAAATGGGAATTTAGGAAAACTGAATTTAAGTTTAACAGCCGATCTTGAAAGGAAAATAAAGGCGATGGAGATGAGATGCTTCAGAAGCGTTTTTGGCATCTGGTATAGGGACCATATCTCCAATGATACAGTGAACGAAAGGGTTCGTCAGGCAATAGGGGAGTACGATGGCCTACTGGTGACAGTGAAAAAACGCAAATTTCAATGGTACGGCCACGTAACAAGGAAACAAGGGCTTGCCAAAGAAATATTGCAGGGAACCATAAGAGGAGGGAGAAGCAGAGGAAGACAAATAAAAAGGTGGGAGGATAACATCAAAGAGTGGACAGGACTAACACTGGGCGATGCAGTGCGTAGTGCTGAAGACAGAGAGGAATGGAGGAGGATGGTTCACATGTCATCTGTGGCACCTCAACGGTCCAAGGAATAAGGGACATGAGGATGAGGAGGATGAGGAATTTAAGTTTTAATTTCAACTAATTTTTTGTACAAATTTGAAGTATGGGAAATTTAAAATTAAAAATAAATATGTTTAGCTTCCTTCTGGCTCACATTATTACGAGGCGAGCTCAATTTTGCTCTCTATGAAGGCACGAACAACTAAAGAAAAGAAACAAATCCCGAAAACACTGTTTGTAATCTGATTAACATTATTTTTTTCCCCTCTTAATTAATTTTATTTGTTTGCGACTTAATTTTATTGGAATACTAGTAATACTAAGCCAACGGTGGCCAAACCGCGGCTCGCGAGCCGCATGCGGCTCTTCTGTGTTCACATTGCGGCTCACGAACAATTTATGAAATTAAAAATTTTTGTTTGAAATATATAATATCTGTGATGGATTTCTGGAAGCTCGTGCCAGAAGTAAAATATCCTCAGCTTAAGAAGGCTAGTTGCCGACTTATATCCATTTTCGGTACAACCTACTGCTGTGAATCTTTGTACTCCACAATGAAGTTCATCAAATCAAAGCATCGAGCAGTAACTAGTAACCAGCATCTGACAGAACTTCTTCGCACTACAACTACTAGCCACCAACCATATTTAAATAAACTTGCTAGTTCAAAGGCTTCTCAGCAGAATCATAACAATTAATGTTCACTATAATTATGAGTAGATATGCAGTGTGTTTCTATTCATAAATTTGACATATTTAAATATTTGTTAATTGTGTAACTGTAACGCAAATATTTCTTCAATTGTGTAACTGTAACGCATGCATTTCTTCAACATACGGTTAGGGTTAAAATAATTGAAATGTTTAAATCATCAAATTCGAATAAAAAGTAATTTAAAAAAATAAATCACAAAAGGAATTTTTCATTGCGAGTGGGGTCGTGACCCATAGTGCTTCAATGCGGCTCTCAACAATTTTTTAAATTTTATAAATGGCTCTCAGTTAATACAGGTCTGGCCACCCCTGTACTAAGCTAAACCTCAACACCTTGTTCTCATGTAGGCTAATGAGCAAAGCTATCTGCACCGCACACACGAAAGGTGCTAATTTTTGTGCACCTATAAAACTTACATTCATTAAGGGGTCGTCCATTAATTATGTCAACAAAATAAGGGGGGGGGTGGTTTGGAAATTTTTGAAAGTTGTGTTGACAAAGGGTGTGGGGGGGGGGAGGGGTATATTAGTTGACGTCAACAATCATGTTTTCTCTATTAAAATTTGTATCTTAAAAATTGACTGGTTATTAAATTATTTTAAAAATTGTATGAGTGTAAATTAAAAATTAAAATAGTAATATGATTTTTAGTTATATAAATTTTATATGTTGATTAAAAATCTAAAGATGTAATAAAATGTTTTTCCTGCAATTTTGTGTTATTAAAATAGATCAGCACAAAGTAAAATGTATTTATATTTTTATTTATATTATAATTCATTTTTTGTTTTTGTTTTGTGGGGTATAGAAAAATGTTGACATAATTACTTAGGGTGGTCATTGAAAGTTTGACAGTTTTTGCTTTAAAATTGTTAACGCAATTAATGGACGCCCCCTAAGCGTTAATGACCGACCTATCCACAGCGCGAGATTACAATTGGCACTTCTGTCCCACAACCAGCAATAAATGCAGGGAAATACTAAAGATGTAACCACCATTTTAGCACAGCTCTTACTCATAATAAATAAAAACAAGACAAAGATCATTAAGGTAGACCCAGCCAACCAAAAGCATATCTGTCTGGTAGGAAATGCACTGGAGGACGTGGAGGACTTCACATAACTAGGTATCACCATTGCCATTGACTTAAATAGTGAGTCCGAAGCGAAAGTCGGGGCTAGATTTTGAAACGCTAGATTAAAGAAAATATGGGAGTCAAATGAGCTGACTCTTCAAACCAGTCCCACTACATGGAGCCGAAACTTGGAGAACATCAGCGAGCATTACGTAGAAAGTACAAACCTTTATAAACGCTTGCCTTAGAAAGATCCTGAACATCAAAAGGCCAAATACAATCACAAACAAAGATCTGCTGGAAATGACATATCAGGTGCCCCTTGATGAAGACATCATAACAAAGGGATTGGGGTGGATAGGGCACGCTTTCCGAAAACCACCAAATAACATCACGAGACAATCCCTACCATGGAATCCACAAGGGAAAAGAACGAGGGGAAGAATACCAAAGAATACATGGAGACGCGATCTAGTGGCAGACACACAAAATAAGGGATACACCTGTAAGCAACTGGAAAGGAAAGCACATTGTGATCATAGAAATTTAATGCACTCAAGACAAAAATCCCAAATGCAATAATTGACGTCTTGTCTCGCTTCAAAAGATGTTTTAACCTCGTGCCTTGTCTCCTTATTTACGTACCGGGACATCCCTAAGCAGTTACGGACATTTACGGACAAGTCATTTTAAGTTAAATTTTCACGGACTGTCCGCAAATTTACGGAAGTTGGCAACCCTGCAATGGATGCATGTCAAGCTATAGCTTCCATCAAAATCATACATTCACCCATTGATCTGTTTGCCAACCCAGTGGCGTAGCCAGCATTTTCTTTTAAAATAAGGGGGTGGGGTGGGGGCGACGGCAGAGCCGCCGAACGTGAGTAGTTACTTTCTCAACCAGGGAGCCGCTTTTTCCTCGCCAGGAAAAAAACAATAAAAAAATTACGCTATTTCGTAGTACTCTTGTTCGATTTTTACATAGGTTACTTTGGGGAAATCTGGGTGCGGAAAAGACACTGTGATTCGAACAAAGGTTTGTAACCACTATATTACCAGTGCCTTAGGATAGGGATGCGGAAGGGGAAGCTTTTTTCTGTATACCTTATTTGTGGGGCAGAATTTTCAGCTACCTGTGGAGTTTATTTCGTGTAACTTCAGTGTAAGGGGGCGGGAAAAAAGCGTGTCTCACCCCACCGCGGGTGTCACCAACGGTGGCTACGCCACTGTTTAGTAAACCTATTTGTTGAAATTGATTGAATGATTAAAACAGGGTTCTTAGTATTTTAACGAATAGAAGTACCGTCTCCAATCAATATAATGCCTTTTTGATATCAGTAATATCACCCTGTGTCATTCCTTGGACTAGTGAAGGTGTGCAATTTGCATTTATTTATGCTTTTACGTTACCTGCACAGGTGATAATAAACTAATGAAAGCTCTTCGCTTCGCACTTTATTGCACTTTTACACTACAATAATATACGCACGTTATATATACGTTCGATGTGTTTACTCCTAATGAATGATGGGATTCAGCATTTCTAATGTTAAAATAAATACATATTTGTATGTATATATTATGACTATTTAAAAAAACCGTAATATATGGATATTATATGGTGCACTTGCAAATCACGTGACCACAAACTAGCACAAATCAAAGATGTACGACGAAACAAAGGGTTATCGTTCTTAGCCAACTTGGAGTTTATTGATTTTTGAGGTAATTAACAAGATGCAGTGTACACAAACCGTAATATATTACTTTGTTCATTCTAGACTAAGATCAAGCATTGGCTGTTGTTCATTCTTCTTCTTTGTTTGCAATATATCGATAATATAATAATGTAATTCGCCTCCTAGACTTGCCGCCATTTTTTCGCCATGAAGTGGATTTATTTACATTATTTTATTCATGTGTATTTTTTAAAATCATTTGTGGTTTAGGCCTTTTAAACTACCAAAAGTAGTACTAACTTAAACTTAAGTTAAAACTAAAAAAACAAAAAAAAAAAAAAATAACAACCACTACCAGACTTTCAATAATATTAATAATTCCGCCAGTAGCTTAAGATTCTTATTAATTAATAGTAATATTATAATTATACTATACTTGTTTCTTTTACAAGTTTTTAATTAATTTTATTTTGAGTCACTCACTCTCAGTCTCAATATTGTCATTATTTAATTAAATTTTAAATACTTATCCTACTAGGCACTAGGTCTATCCCATATTAATAATATTTATAAGGAGGCACTGGGTAAGAGCAGTAAGAGTAAGGCAAGTTAAAACTTTGTGGCATGGCCTGTATAAATTATAAATTACATTAAAAAAATAATAGGTTTCCCAAGGGCAGTTGGCGTCCACTTTTGTTATTATTATAATTATAGTTATTTATATTATGCACACTGCTTACGCATTAATATAATAAATTTTACACTCTCCATTTCCTGCCTTTTGCTGAAAACTGGTCATTGTCATCAGATTATAAATTACTATAATTAGGCCCTTATTAACAAGCATATGCAGTGTATGTAGAATGAAGTATTTTAAAAAATCCTCAACTGCACTGTGTAGTGTAAGGGAGAAACAGCATTTCATTAACGGGTGTTGTTGCATATCTTAGGGATATAATCAAGTTCATCCTGAATTATGCTTAGGCCGCAGGCAGCATTTGTCTTGATGTTGGAAGCATTGAGCTCCACCAATTGGCATCGGCATGGCATATGGTTTTATGCCATAGTCTTTTAGGGCCTATCTCGCCCTAAAAATCACTGGCCTACTTATGGAAATAAGCCTAGGCCTAACGCAACAAACTGACCAAGTGCATGATCCCATTTTGAGATAGGCTACTGATGGTAATAAATTTATTAGGGCTAGGTTAAAGAATTCTGCATATTTTTAGTTGTTCTTGTTATAATTATAGGGTCTAGCTTTAACTCCTAAATTAAATGATTAATTATAAAAATGTATAGGCATAAAAATAGGCCCTATGGTAAGGCTGGCATAGGCACGGTCTGCTAGTCCTATTTAAAGCATAATTTAATGAATTAACATTTTATTATAAGAAAATGCCTAATTGAAGTTTAAGCAGACTTGACTCACTTGTAATTTGAAAGATTTGCCAGGGTCAGACTTAGTTTATTTTTTTTTTAATATAGCTGATTATTTTAAATTAGTCCCTTTGAACTTTTAAGGTAGCTTCATGTAAATCAAATGCATAGACTAGGGTAGTGCCTGGATTATATTATTTTTAGATCGGCCCTTTGCTTTTTTGTTCATTTAATAGGCTTGATATAATGCCTAAAATTACATAGACCCTAACTGGCAAGCAAAAGCTGTGCCTTGGGGAAAAGCCTTATTACCCCCTTCCTCATCAAACTTCTATTTGAAGCTTTTTTGCAAGGACTAATTTTCTAGTGGTAGTAGAGAATTACTTAGCATTAATGTTTACTAGTGTAACATGTGTTAGATCCATCATAATAAGATTTCTTTCTTAAATAAATTTAGAAGTGACATTTTCTTTAGAGACATGAAAATGTGGGATGCTAGTAATGTTAGGGATAATTTATCTTCAAATCAATAAAATAAACTTATTTTAATACCTGTGTAAAGTTGGAGCTTTATAAGAATAGATAAAACAAGGAAATACCTCATACTAAATGATTCTAAGACTCAAAGCAAAACTTCAGCTTAAGGTTGCCCAAATAATAGCAGGTTTCATGTCCAAAAGTATAAAGAAACACCATCTAAGTCACATAGTAGATACGAGGGCTGAACAGACGGGACAAACTGATTCAAAAAAAGCAAGACTCTGCCAACTTCATTTACCTTGTTGCACTGCAAGGAGTTATTGATCAAAGATGATTAGGTACTTTTGGAATAATTACAATAAAAAATCATGATCATCGCTTACTGAATGGTCAAAGAACATCTCGCGACATGATGGGAACATCAGAAAACTAGTGAATTATTGGCAGCTGGTAATAAATTGGCAGAGTTTCAAGGAGAATTACTGGTAAATGCTCAGCATTGATGTTTGATAGAATGAGGTGACATCAAGCACTTTTAGGCCATCAACACATTTCCTTTGATGTCTAACGACAGTTTATTGATAGACAAGATAATTTAAAAATAAAAATGGGAAAATAAAAACTTTCTTCTTCTTAAGTACTTAACTTTTGAAAAAGTTTCAAAATAATTACAATTATTATATCATAATTTCTTTTCCGCACCATCTCTAACCAAGTATCTCTAACCAGAGAAATACGCACCGGGGCACCACAAGGCTGCGTTCTCTCTCCTGTACTGTAAATAATATATACAAATGGTATTCAAAGCTCAAGCAACACCGTTCCAATCTTAAAATATGCTGATGATACCACAATTGTTGGCTTAATATCTGAAGGAGAAGGCCTATACCGTAACTTAGTAACAAGCTTTATCAATTGGTGCGATGAAAATTTTCTCCAGTTGAATGTCTCAAAAACAAAAGAAATGGTTGTTGATTTCAGGAGGGGGAAACACCTGATTACAGATCTCAACATAAAAAATAAAAATGTGGAGAAAGTGGAGGCGTTCAAGTACTTAGGTGTCACCATTAATAATAAGCTAACATGGCATGAGCATGACCAAATCCTGTATAAGAAATTCAACCAAAGACTGTTCTACTTAAAAAAAACTGTACAATTTCGGCGTAAACAAACAAGTCGTTAACTTATTCTACAATGCAACTATTGGAAGCCTGCTTAATTTCAGTATTACCTGCTGGTGTGGGAATTCAACGTCTGATATTAAACACCGCATAAACCGACTAATCAAGAAAGCTAGAAACATATCACAAACTAAACATCCTTCACTTGAAGAACTATTTGAAGAAAGATGTTTTTGCAAAACTAAACACATTTTGGATGATACATCCCACCCTCTTCATCCTAGATACTTAGGATCGGGCAGTTCGGGACGAATTCTTTCCATCAGGGCGAGGACTGACCGATATAAAAATTCTTTTGTTCCCCAATCTGTACGAATTTACCGAAGTGCTTCCTCTGAAGTCACACATCTGAATGAGAACTAATAAGTCCCCGATTTTGCTAAGAGAACTCACCGAGTGGCTGCTTGAAATAATTTATTATAAATGTCTTGTGTTCAAATTGTTTTATTTTTGTGCTGAAAATGTATAATGCAATCAAAAAACATTTCCATTTATTTGGATCAATAAAAGAATCTTATCTTATCATCATCAGTGGGGCTACACCTCATGTAGGGCCCTGGCCTGCTCCACCACATCCTTCCATTCAGAATGATCCATGGCTTTCTGCCTCCATGCAGGAACCCCCAACTGGTGTAACTCCTTCTCTACATCGTCGCTCCATCTCAGGTTTGGGCGACCAGTGAGTTGTCTGCCCCTAGGTTTCTGCCTGTATATCACTTTTGCTGCTCTACATTCCGGCATCCTTTCAATATGTCCGTCTCAGCGCAGTCTGCCTTTTTTTTATTGTTGCGACTATGGGTGGGTCTTTGTACAATTTAATTTCTTTTCCAGATAAATCAAAAGAAGTGAAATGCCCAGAGAAATAAAAACTCCATTAAGGTATGTTACTGGAACAGATCAACAACCAGCGGTGGTGAAGAAAAGGGGAAGGCCAAAGAAAATTGTTACAGAACCTGTTGTTGTTATTGGGGATGGGGAGGACTCAGAGGTAGAAATATTAGATGAACCTAAACAACCTTCAAAAAGAAAGAAATGTGATGATGATCCAGACTGGGCTGCTGGGAAAAAGGTATTTTAAAAATTTTTTTACATTCTTTTTTTTTTTTTCGCGTTAAAAAAAAATTTAATTTATGATTGCGTGAACTTTAAAAAAATTAAATGAACTTGTTTTCAATACTTGGATTTAAAAAGGGATAATTAATTCAAAGTTATATGCTTCTTGCACAAGAGGTAGGGGGACTATAATAATTAACTCTAAGGTCCTGCTGCTATTGTTTTGGTTGTCAACCTTTTTTTGCAGGCATCTTTAAAAAAAAAAAAGTGAATGCAATTTCAATAATTATAATGATGCCTACTGTTACTCATTTGTTAAACGTCATTGTGCAATTCTATTACAGACTACCTCGGGTCGACCCAGAGGAAGACCAGAAAAGTTGAAGGATAAAACTCACCTACCCACCATCCCACCAGCACCAACAATACAAAAACCAAATGAAGTTATCTTACCAAGTGTTCAAGCTCAAAAGAAGCCAGCGCCAGCTTCTAAGCCAGCACCAGCTTCAAAGCCTGTGCCAGCCTCTAAGAATGTGCCAGTTTCTACAGTGGTCGAGTTGTTTATGGAATGCAAGGATGAACCTCTTAGTCAGATCCAGGTATTGTATTCAAATGGGATACATAAGTTACATAGTACATAGTCAGATCCAGTTGTTGTTTTCAAATGATGTTCATTAGTCGCCTAGAAACAAATGCAGATCCATGTATTGTTTTCGGATGGGCTGCATCAGTGACCTAGGCCAAAAAAAAATTTGTAATAAGAAAACATTATTTGTCCTACGATGAGAGCTGTTTTTCTCTTGGTGATTTAGTCAAAGTCGTATTTTTTCACTTTATATTAGATACCCCAATTTTGCAGTAAGAAGATTTTTGTCCCACTTCAGAACACTGACAATTTACAAACAGTCGTATAGTATCACTATGTCTTTTTAAGTTAACGAACATTATTTTATTGAGAGCATTGACGAAGTCATTATCAAATTTGCTAAGAAATTTTTCTGTACAAATCTAGGTGGCAGTATTACATTAAACAAAAATATTTTTGGAAGACATTTTTTGTTTTAATTTTAGATCCAAACTGCCAAGAAAGAACAAGCTCAGTTTGAACAGTCACAGACACTTGTTAAAGCAGCAAGAGAAGGTCGCCTTATTTTTCTCCCAGGAGGAAACACACAAATTCTCGGTTGGTTTTCAATCTGCTATTAACTTGGTCATGTCAGCGGGTGGGGGGGGGAAGCCACCATTGTGATAATCAGTCATTTTCAGGGATCCAAATGTCAATTTTAATAAATTGATAAAGGCACTTAATGTTTCAGACTGTCTCACATCATCCTTCATGACCACGCACAGTTAATGTATATCGGATATTCGTTGCTAAACTCCTTTTCTGTAGGATAGCCACTATTTTATCAGCAATGCTGGGGGGGGTGGGGGGGTTGACAAGATTTTCTTATGCTTTCCCTGTGGTTTGATTCTGGGGTTTAAATCAGTGTTAGTTTTATAATGAACTTGAATTCTTATTTTAAGCAAGTCGCTAGTACGGGAATACTATAAAAAATTGTTGGTTTTTACTTTGTTTCAACTTAAAAAAAATTATTAATTTCAGAAAAACCTTTCTCCATGGTCTACACACCCCAGACACCACCAACACCAGTAGCAAAGCTGCCAGCTACAACACCAGCACAAACCCCACCGTCGTTGAATACCCAGATCAGGTAGGGGGTGGGGTTTTTTCTGCTTAGAGGTTATTTTGTGATGAAACAAATCAAAATAGGGTATCATCCAATTCAATTCTGGAAGTCATAAACTTGTAGAGGAGGTGAACTGTTGTAAATGAGCTTGAAGTGTGCGTCAAAGTATAACTTTTGTTTGTTTCTGTTTTGAGGAAATTAAACTTTTTTTATATTTTTGTTTTAATATTTTTTTTTCAATCATTTTGCTCGGTGACTTGAAATTGGTAAAGAAAAAAAATTGCTTTTGCTTAATTTTAGTACCTTTGAACATTTGAAGATGAGTTGACTTTGAGATTAGGGGGTTGGGTGATGTGGTGTGATATTTACAATTTTTATGATCCTGTTAAAAAAACAAAAAGTCATTCGCGCACACTCACTGCATCATGGATTTTGTGCAAATTTTATGCCGTGAGATTTTTGTATGAAGCTGGCATCATTATGCACTATAGAAAGAAGATCTATAGATGTACAGAAAATTGCATAAAAAGTAAGTACTGTATTTATTGCAATATATAACTTTGTTTTGTACATTCCACTTTATTGTGTTTAAAACCTTTTTTTTTATAACCTCAATGTTTTGGCTTGTTTTAGTGGGTTTCAATATGTCATTTGATACTAAGGATAGAGTACTCTGTTCTTAAATTACCACACCAGTTTCAATTGTTATTAAATGAATTTCACCACATTAAAAGGAAAAGTTATACTCTAAGGTAAGAATTAGTACAGGTTTTTTGGGTAAAATTTAAAGATTTGTTTAAAACCACATCCTTGTACATTTACATCATTTAGGGCTATAGTTACAGGCTGCTATTGCAGGTGGTGGTTACAAAGAGGTGGAATCTACTGGCCTAATAGGGAGAACTGTTACAATTGATTAGAGAGCAAGCCATGCAGAACTTTCAACCAGCTGACACTGACATATCTTTGATCAAGGATTATGCCTTGATCTTATTACAATTAGTAAACTGATCTATTTTATTGTTGGAAAGCAACAAAAATAGGAGCACTGATGTAAATAATAATGAGACTGAATCTTTTGAAACTCTGGCCATTGGTTCCTTGAAGGATCGAAGGATGGGATCAAAGTCTGACACTTACAGATTATTTTTTTCCCTCAGTTTTTACAGAAATTTAAAAAATAAAATTAGTCAACATTGTTATTTCCAACAATTTCTGCTTGAGATAAAAACAATTAATTTTTTTTATATTTGTAAATAGTTGAGAATGCAGTAATTCCTGTTATTTTTTTTCCAACATGCCCTGATGCTCTGAACTTTAATTGTTCTTCAAGTGAAAGACAGATTCTTTTTTCCCTTCATGATGATCATAACAGTTGAGCTTTTACTAGAGAGACATGTTTTTTTTATTGTTCAAAAACTTGTTTTAATCTACAAAGTCTTTGGAAAAACTGTTACAAAAATGTATTAAGATTGCATTTTTATTTGAGCACATCTCTATTTTGCAGTTTTTTTAAGCTTGAGTTGTTTTTTTTTTTTAGTGCTGTCCAAGCATACTTAAGCTTACTTAAATGGTTATTTTCATCTTGAAATCTTTAACATTTACTTTTGTACATTCCAGGTCTAAAAAACCAGAAGCTCCAGTTCAAGAGTATAAGATTGGTGGTTGGGGGAAAAGGGATAATGGTGCTTCTAAAACACAGCAGGGCCAACAAGCCCATTCCAAGCCCCAGCAGGGCCAACAAGCCCATTCCAAACCACAGCAGGGCCAAGCCCATTCCAAGCCCCAGCAGGGCCAACAAGCCCATTCCAAGCCCCAGCAGGGCCAACAAGCCCATTCCAAACCACAGCAGGGCCAACAAGCCCATTCCAAACCACAGCAGGGCCAACAAGCCCATTCCAAAACGACAGTGGGAGGCAAGGATAAATTCAAAACCAACAAGGAGAACATAAGGATGAAGCAAAGGCTTCATGAGAGGTCCAAAGCAGCCAAATTTTCAAGGTATTGCTATATTTAATCTAAGGTAGACTAAAAAATTATTATATATTTTTAAAAAAAATTAACAAGAGTCATCCTTTAGGGTATTCTGATAATATTTATTTTTATTACATGTCGTTTTCTTTGATGTCAAACATCACCATAAGAAGAAACTCTGATGTAATTAGCAAAGCCCATGTAACACTGTTAGGATTTTGTAGTCCATTTCTTAATTTTCCCCAAGTTTGTGCTAATGAAAGAGAAAAAAACAATACTTCTTCATAGTTCAGAGATAAATACCAAAAAAATGCCAGTTTTTCTCTTTATGTTTTACAGCAGAAGAACAGCCACCAGACTGCACAGACAGCTGAGGAGACATGTGCAACATTCAGAAAAGTATGCTGCATATCTTGAGGAGAAGAGGGGAAAACTAGAGAAGAATGGGAAAAAGAAGCCACAGAAAGATGAAAGTGAAGGCGCGCAGTCAAGGGAAAAGAGCTTAAAAAGAGAACCCGAAAACAGGCAGCAAGTAGCACATAGCAAGAGAGTAGTTTCCAAAAGAGAAAGGTCAGCAACAGAAGAAAAGATAGTCTTGTTAAGGTTAAACTGTACACATAGAGTGAGAGGAATCTATTGAAAACTCAGAAGTGTTTATTAACAAACTTTGAACTAAGATTAATTTTTTTCAAATTTGATTTTTTTTTTTTTGATAACCCAGTAGCACTAAGCAATGTTGATAACCAAGAAGCGCAAAATTTAATTCTAACATTTGAATCACTCACATGTTCACCTCTTAAATGAATAGCTAGGTGAGGTACAAATCCATTTTAATACATCTATGGTGAACTTGTATGTGTTGAACATCAAGCAGATCAATAGTGCTGGAAAATTTTTAACACTTGTTCTATTAACGTTATCATGATAAGGAATTCACCTTAAGAAAAGAGAATCGGTTCATTACCTGCCCTTGGATTTTCATAATTAATTTGGAAACGAAAAAATTTGGTTGGAAACCATATATTTCAGCTTGAGGTGCAAACATCATCGGCAGTTTTGAGTTGCTAAAGGAATGGAGGATTTCCCCTGCTATTCCTTGAATGTCTTGTTACTCAATTTTAACGAAAATGTTGTTTTAATAACTAATAAACTTGATGAAACTTTAAAATGGATTTGTTTGTTCCTTTTTCAGCTGTTTAAGTTTCTGTTTTAGTGTAACAAAACTTGTAACCCAAGGTCAGTGGTGCTCAAAATTTGGGTGGGGATCCTGTTTGGGGTTTCTAAGGGTTTTGATTTATATGGTGTCCATAAGAAAATAATTTTACGATGGGGGTAGGGTACCACTAAAAGGTTTGTGCACCACAAAGGTTTGTGCACCACTGGCATTTCTTATTTCTAAAATTAAAAAAACATGCTTTTTTTTTTCTTTTTTTTTTTCTGTTGTATGTTTGTTTTGTAGCCGAAGCTGTTGACATTTCCAACTTGATAATCAGTTTTGCTATCTTTCAATGGAATTTTTGTGTGTCTCTTCTGCAGTGCCAATCGTCCTGCGTCACCAGATCTTGTCATTGTTGGTGAGACACCTCCACGGAAACAGTCCTCTGTAAGTGCCTTTTACGTAAGTGGCACCTGTTGTGTCAGTGCCTGTCATGTAATTTACTAGCCATTTCAGCACCCACTTTGTAATTGCTTGCTATGTCAGGGCCTATTGTGTGAATATTATCTGTTATTTACAGCTAACGTTATGATTGGCGTTCTGAAAGAACTCTGTGGCATTTTTATGCCTACTTGTATGTGTTAAAAAGTCAAGCTGTTGAACCCCTCCCAACCCCTGTGGCTAGATTTGGTTGCATTGGTTCTGATTCACACACATGGGAAATAGACTACAGAAGCTTGTAAGTTGTCTCTCTCGGGTATTCTGGCGTTAAGACTGAAACAGGTGTGCTACAACATTGAGTAGTTGTCATTCTGTGGTCTTCATTTATTGGTAGTCCGCATAGAATTGGGTGCGTACATGTCTGGCCATGGTCTTAGCAATTTGTCGCTTTGCTAGCTTCATTTTTCTGCATCTTGACATAATAGAGATAACTTTAGTGAAACTGATGCACCATCTTGATATCATTGTGGTTACTTATTGGTATGTTGTTTTTTTTCCACAGTCACTAAGAAGCCCAGGAGTCCCTAGTCCAATAAGTCCTGCAACTCCTACTGGTAAGCATGTCAATATACTTACACATTAATGTAAACAAATTTATTTAAAAAAACCTCTAGAGGCTAGATTTTTCTAAAGTAGTACTAATTCTCCCTCCTCGTCCTCCTCCAACTAGTTTTAAAATTTATGCCAGAGAATAGTTGCCTTGTTTGTTCAGTCATTTTAACAAGCCCAGTTCATGAATCTGCACCTTGCTAGCTCAAGTTTCGTACTAAAAAAAAAGCTGAAATTAAATGTTTAAAAGATTTTCTGTAAATCACTTTGGTTTCTTTATTGTTCCATGCTTTAAACTTTGCTGTCGAGTTAAAACCTGGGATTTGAGCAGGCTTTTTTAGGGGGCGTTGAGCTCTGCTCCTGATTCCACTCCGAGCTATGGCAAAATAAAAATGTGGGGATGGGTTGGCATAGTGTTAGCTGGTAGAAGATTGGGGCAACATAGCTGGTAGAAAAGTGGGGCAACCCTAACATAGCTGGTAGAAAAGTGGGCAACCCTAACATAGCTGGTAGAAAAGTTGGGCAACACTAACATAGCTGGTAGAAAAGTTGGGCAACACTAACATAGCTGGTAGAGTAGTGGGGCAACATAGCTGGTAGAAAAGTGGGGCAACCCTAACATAGCTGGTAGAAAAGTGGGGCAACCCTAACATAGCTGGTAGAAAAGTGGGGCAACACTAACAGCTGGTAGAGTAGTGGGGCAACATAGATGGTAGAAAAGTGGTGCAACAGCTGGTAGAAGAGTTTAGCAATAAAACATTTTAACAGCTGGTAAAAAGACCCTGATCCAAAGCTCAGAACTCCGCTCCAAATCCAATGTCAAAACCCTCACTCATGAATGACAGTTTTGCTTCTTCTTCATAGGCAATTTTGTACATGGTACACATGGAATGGGCGTGAAGCTACCTCAGGGATGGCAACCCTTGGAGCCCAGCACATCCAACACTCCTCCCAGCCAGCAACTGATGCCCGTTCAAACAGCTCACTCGAAATCTCAGGCTTTCCCAGAGACAATAACATCTGTGCAAGCCAAGGCCCAGTCTGAGGCTATTGCCTATTTGAGGTAATGTTGTCCTTTGGTTGTCTGTCTGATTTTAGGCCCGGTGGAAATTTAATGTCAGGGAATCTTACCACATTTTAATTAACGGCAATCACATTTATCACTGAATTCCCTATAATAACTTGTTATTTCACCTGAGCCATGACTCTTTAATTACTGAGACATTAAATTTTTTTTTCACTTCAGACAACAGATGCAGCAACAGGCCCAAGCCAAGGCAGAATCAGAACCCATGAAGAAGAGAACCAAAAAACTGGCCCAAATGGAAGCAGATGACAGTGGTGAGATGATGCTCTGATTACATTTGTTTTATTACCTTAAAAAAACTGCCGCAATCAGATTTGGGATAAGTCAGTTTAATTATACTAATCCAGTGCGTTTAAACAATTAAACATAAGAAGATTGGATTCTTTTATTGATCCAAAATGACAGAAAGCGAATGTCTATATTTTACGGACAGTACAAAATATATAAAAATTCATCTTTTCCCAAATCTTTGGAGCCTTACATTGAAGGACAGAATTCGCCCAGAACTAGCTGGTGTTAAGTAACTGATGAAGTGGGTGGGGTGTATCCTCCAAAATTCTTTTTGTTTTGAAGTTAGCAACTCTCCCCTGAATTATTCTTGAGGGCATGCCTAGTGACCAGTTTCCTATGGCCGGATCTACAAATACCAAGGCTGCTGCCATCTTGTTGAAAACGGGTCTCTATTCTTGTTTTCACCAAGATATAAGGGGATTAACAATACCTTGTTTTTATTATCCATATAGATTTTTTAATTTAGGCAGCACTAATTTTTAATTATTTAAAATGCTTCGGTCTATGTCTTTGTGAGGAAAAGATATAAAATGTACATTACTAATTGTATCTGAGATTCCAACTTGAGCCAAATTTAAAGAATCTAGTAATTTTAATACTAATATGATACCTGCATATTGGTGAGTTTTGAATTTACGATTCTAAAGGTACAGAAACAGGGGTAGCTTCTTCTTAATATAAAATAGCTGTTATTTTCTCTTTAATGTATTTGGAAACTTGGTGCTAAAAAAAATATAAATAATTAAGCTTTCCTTGGGTACTAACAAAAATTTGTTTAGGCTTGATATACGATTTATGATCCATTTTTTAATTGACCAATTTGTTTGGTGCTATTATAATGGGAGGTAAGCAGAACAAAGTGTTTTGAATATCCGATTCTAAAAATACGTAAACCTGTGCTTATGTGCATTGATGTTTTATTTAAGGTAACTGGGTGCCTTTAGATGAATACTATTATGGCAAGATGGAGGGAAACCCTACCTACCAAGAACAGAAGGGAGAGCTCAGATTTAAAGTAAGTGCAATTTTATCAGATTCTTTCTAGATGAGATTTGTTATTTCAGTGTGTGGATTAAAAGTCACTGTTTTCAGTAAAATCACTATACGGTGCCATAAGGTGCTGGATGGCCGAGTGGTCTAAATTGAGCAAATCTCAAGTTGATGGTCTGTAGTTCAAAGCCACCAAAGCCTCTTCAAGCAAAAACATCACCAGCATCCCGGGTGGATGGGACTCGTTAAACTTGAATGGCAACTCATCTAAGAGAAGGAAACTCTGAATTCAAACCAGGAGATGGAGTCCAGTAGGCGGATAACATTGGTACAATGAAAAATTCCAACAACTCCTGCAACGCCACTGGTGCCAAGATTTATCATCCACATGATGTCCCCATGGGTTATCCAGAGGCGCGGAGAGAGGGGATTTGCTGTTGGGAACCAGCTTATAATCCTAGAAGAATAATCAGGTGCCAGAATACTGCAAGTTCTTAAACGGGGAAGAGTGTTGCATGGTCCTGCATAAAAAATATTTTTTTAACCCTTTAATTTTAGTATTAGCATACATTTTTTTAAAAACATGCAATATTTTTTGCTCAAGACCTCAATATTTAAGTAATTTAACAGATGTGTTGCTCATTAGTAGTTCTCTTCTACATTTTTTTATAGGGATTTTCTCCTAATTTTATTTTGCGTTCATGAAACAAGAGCTTTAAAGTCAAATTTGGTGTTGTGGATTCAAATATACAGCACCTTACCCTACACATACAAAGTTAAATGATAGTCCTAATGCTGAACCTTTCCTTCCTACTAGTGTTGGTACTGTAACAAGATGCTGTACAACAATGTGGCAGCCATGATGCACATCCAGGGTCACATTGACTCTGAGCGGCAGGTCAATCTGGACCTGAGTGACCTGACACAGTGCAAACATTGCTACAAACAATTCGACACACCATTTGAGATGCAGACTCACATTGAGAAGGTGGTTTAAATTTTTCATTAACCTATTTTTTAGTTGTAAGGTTACAAAAATATCAAGATAGATGTTCCAGACCTGTTTACGCTTATGATTTTGGCGTACAATGTACGATTTTGAGGTGTACACATTATATATACTCTGTTTATTTTTTACTATTAATAATGTATTGAATGATATTGTAGGATTTTAAGAGTTTGATGGTAAACAGGTCTGATGTTCTTATGTATCAGTTGTAAAATAAAGCACTTTAAAAAATATATACACATTAGTCTGCTACTTTGGGAAGCAACCTTTTTTAGATGTTTGATGATGTAAGTAGTTATTGTAGACATTTATTTTTATTTATTTGCTATTACCATACAATACTGTGCGTTTTGAGAAGATAAAATACTATTCTGAAACGATATTGTACTATTTTGAGAGTTCCAGGGCAGCCAGGTCTGTTGTGTGTTAATTAAAATATCAACGAGATTGGTGCTCTTAGTATGTTAACTAAAATATCAACCAAATAAATGTTCTTATGTTTGTTGTATGGTTCCAAAAATATCAACCAGAAAAATGTGATACATGTTAGCTTGATCACTAAAATTAAGGTGCACACAGTGTCCGTGTAGTTCAAGTGTGAACACTATACAACCCTGGCAACTTGGTGTCTCACTTGCTTCATTAATTCCTTTATAAATCAAAGAAATCAAGATACTGAAATCAATATGGGATGTAAATCAAAATACAAACAGAAGGCCTAAATGATTTTTAAGTGTCTTTAGGCATAAATTTGAGTTTTTCAGTCATAAAAATTGAGCTGGTTAACCCTTAAAAGTTGAGCTGTGCAATCATAAAAATATATGGTTTTTAATACCTTTGTACTTGTGTGTCATATTTGTTCGGTGCAATGAAATCATTGTCTTTCAGGTTCACATGAACAATACCAATGTGCTTCTGTGTCGTATCTGTGAGAAAGACCATGAGAATCGCCATGCCTTAACTGACCACATGAGGAGGAACCACAACGCCTGCGAGATGCCCTACATTTGCCAGCTGTGCAAGTTCAGGTCATCGATGTACAGTGATGTTGTTGATCACTTTAAGAAGGTGAAGATGTAAACAGCTGTTTTTTAACATTTCCGACTTGTTCCTAAGGCAAGCTGCACACAACTTCAGCAAATTAAGCCACAGCACTGTGACACATTTTGTTGTCACAGTATGTATGCTCTGTAGGGAAGTGTCAGTGTAGAATTGATATTTAAATTATTTAAAATAGGTTTTAAAAAAACATTTTTATTTGACTCTCTCCATAAGCATGTGATTCTCTCCAATCCACTGCTGGCTGAAAAAACTATGGAAATTAATTCTGTCTCAGTTTTGTTTTTCAAAATTCAATGCCAGCAGGCTGGAGTAAACTAATTGAAAATGAATTTTTAAAAAAAAATAAGATGTCAGACCATAAGTATTTTTTAAAAGCTTTGTCTATAGTTCAGTCTGCCACTGTCATGACATTTGCTAATAGTTTGCTACCATTGTCATGTAATAGGCTGAGTTCAAGCTGCACTAATCATGTAATGTTTTTGGTTACTTGAAACATGCCTCTTTTTTTTTTTTGGTCCCCAGAAACACAACAGTTCAGAGTCCATGCTTTGTCTGTATTGTCTCAGGGTGTTCCATGTTCGTTTTGTCAGCCAGGGATGGGGTCAGACCTCAATTTATTACAATCACCTCATGAAACATCAGGTTAGTAACTAATTCAATGGCACTTATTTTTCTGTTGATTTGAACAAAAACAAAATTTGATAGAAAGTGAAAGGGATACTTAAAAGTAAGTGTTGAATCATTGTCATAAATGTATACATTAGATGAAAAATACCATTTAATTTTCTCTACTACCTCATAGAACTTTACCTTCTAAACCACAAATATTAAAAAAAAAAAAAATCCTGATTGTAATGTTAGCAGCTTACAAATCAAATGAAATATGGAGATAATTTGAATGTAACATTTTAAATTGCATGATGTCTTGTATGTCTTAAGTTACTGCTCTCAAATAACCAAAAGCTATAAAAGGCTCTAGGTGAAAATCACTCACAGATGCACCTCACTAACAACGTCCGATATAAATAAGCTCAGCTTTTCCCTTGTATTTCAGATAAAAAATTGCTGTAGGAAATGCCAGCACTGTAAACTAATATTCTTAAACCCAGGTGATCTCAAAGCTCATCGTAAACTGGACCATATGCCAAATCAGAAAGGAGTCATTGGTAGGTTTGTGGCTTTAGAACCATTAAGTTTGGATAATGATTGCATCCATATTTGTAACACCTTCATGAGCCAAAGTTTCATTAAGGTCTGTTTATTTCAGAAAGTAGAAATGTGGAAACTGCATAACTATCTTGGTACATTTGATACCATTGAAAGTTTGGTGGGACTGTCATTTTACCTTTTTCAAATACTTTGTCGTCAACATTTCTAACAGCTAATGTTTATAATTTTATATATGCGTCTGTAAATATCAGAAGCTAATGAAGGGATTGGTTTGCGGTTGTTTACATGTTGCTGATAGAAAGCGGAAATCACACTATAAAAATTTTCTTCAGGCTGCAATGCCATGGGAGGTTACTGCCAAATTCTTTTGATTTCATCGAAGAATTTACAATAAGAGAACTATAGGAAAATAAGGAAATAAACGCAACCAGTTATGAATTTTATTTAATGTTATTATATCACAATGTATAAAATATATGTTTCACATATTTTTTTTCTGAACCCATTTACGTTTTTTTTGTGTGTTTTGGCTGAGATTTTAATGGGTAGAATCTCTAAACAGTTGGGGTTGAATGTATAAAGGCTTCATACTGAAACACATTTGTTGTGGGGTGAATCCTTATTCAGGACAATTTATTTTTATTCTTCAAAATTTTATTTTTTCCTAATTAGTTTCTAAGCTAATATCAACAGTGTATGCTGTTCAGTCACATTTTTATTTAGCAGGTATGTTCTTTAAAAACAACCCACAGAAGTATATAAAAGTATATAAAATATATTTATTTATTGTTGCTATTTATTTAACCATAAATGTTATGCTATTTTGGAGGCGCTTTTACACACACACACATACGCACACACCACAATACTCACAAAAAATATAGAAACCCTCGTAAGGCAAGGCATAGTCACAAATTTGTGGGCAACACAACAAACACACACAGAAAACACCCCCCCTTTCCCCCAATTGTGATGCCGTTTTTGGATGGCAGAATAACCTTAACTCTCAAAAGAGTTAAAACTGGTATTTAAAAAAAAAATTAATTAGCACCTGATCTCTTCTCTTGTTACAGGTATGAATGCTAAGTACACCACCCCTCATCAAGTGATGATCAAAGTGACGGAGAAATGTGACAGTGTGGGTGGCATCAAGTCCTTGAATGTTCCAGCCGTCAAGAAAATCATGGATCATAAACTGATATTCCCACCCAGCCTTTACAAGCTCAAGTGCATCGAGTGTAAGATGCTCATGGGAATACCCGACCACTACAAGTATGTATTATATTATGATCATAGTTTTATATAAAAAAAACTGCATATCCTTAGGTAACTACTGAAAATATACCTATAAAAATTGACTTTATGTGCATTTTTAACATTTTTGGTTTCATGTTGAATCCCGTCCACATGCACCTATTTCAAACAAGAGTATGTGATATATATTTTTTATCTTTAATTACGAAAATTAATTGCAGCTGTTTCAGTTTTGAAAGAAGCTAGTTTAAATGTGACCTTAATAGCGGTAGACTCTGTCCACAGATTTGTAACCCCATATATTTATTTATTTATTTATTTAGACATTTTTATATAGCGCTTATCATAAAGCTCTAAGCGCTTTACAATTATTAAAACATGTAAACTAAGTAAATACAAATGAGACACTAGGATAGTAACTACTATTCTATAGAAACAATGAAAATGGCTATAAAACGAGGACACTTTGACACTTCAGGATCAACCCGAAACAGAAAATGAGGTAGGGCAAGGAGGGTGCATCACAGGTCATAGGCGGACCTAAACAGATGAGTTTTAAGGGACTTTTTGAAAATGGACGAGGTTTCACTATGACGTATATGGAAGGGGAGCTGGTTCCAGAACGTGGGCCCATGGAAGCAGAAGGAGCGTTCACCGATGGTCTTAGTTTTAGTTCTTGGGATTGAGAGGGTTCTACTGTCAATGGAAGAACGTAGTTGTCTTGTGGGGATGTAAGGAAGCAACAGTTCAGAGAGATAGACAGGAAAGTGAGGGTCAGTGAACGAGTTGAAGCAAAGATTGGAAGACTTGTATTTGATGCGAGAGGATATTGGAAGCCAGTGGAGTTGCCGCATGTGTGGTTGAATGTGGTCATGTTTCTTTAATTTAAAAATGAGTCTGCATGCTGAGTTCTGTGCCTTCTGAAGTTTTTCTATGTGGTGTTGAGGAATGCCTGAGAGAAGAATGTTACAGTAGTCAAATTTTGAAAGAATGAGTGAAGAGACGAGAGTTTTTGTGGCATCAAAGGAGAGGAGGTGTCTAATGGTGCTGATTTTTCTAATTTCGTTATATGCTGATCTGCATATATTCGTGACATGTTTGTCCATGGAGAGGGTGTCCGTAAGAGTGACTCCAAGGTTTCTGGCAGAGGGAGAGAGTGTGATGTCAGAGTTGCCAATAGATATAGAAGAAGGAGCGAATGGAGGGAGAGGTTTGTTTTGAGAGTGGATGAGAAGGATTTCCGTTTTATCATCATTTAGCTTCAGTTTGTTGCAAGTCATCCAACGCTTTACATCGTCCACGCACTCCTGTATGCGAAGGATTGTGGCATCAAGTTGATCAGGAAAGCAAGAGTCACTGATTTGAGTGTCATCAGCAAAGGATTGACTGGAAACTGAGTGGTGGCTAATGAGAGATGATAGAGGTTTAGTATATATATTACGATATTACTGAGAGACACCTGTCTTGTTGTTTCAGGAAGTTCATCCAGTGTTCAATGTGCAGATTTGCCACAAGTTGTTCCTTTGCCTACGCCAATCACATGATGGGCTTTCACTCTGGTCAGATGACTGCAGCTGCATCCCACACACCCACTGAAGGGAAACTGGAGGAGCAGTTATACTGTGCCTGTGGGTTTGTCAGCAGTTACGGAAACCGTATTGGTGAGCCTTGAGATATCTCTCTCCCTTCATATGTTTTTGAGTTTCAATTTTTAGAAAGTTAATTAGAATTCTATCAAACTGATAACAAAAACTATTGATAGAATAATTACTAAGATTCTAATCGAAGACATTTCCCTTAAAATTTTTATTTTCTTTTAAAAAGTTAAACTTATTACAGAAAATAATTTTATTTTACCACAGCCAATCATCTGGTTGCTTGCTCTAAAAGTTCGTGCTCTAAAGATATGCCTCCACCATCAACTTCAGAAGAATTCGGTAAGTTAACAAACTTTGGAAACTAACTGTTGAAATAAATTATTGAATTTAAAAAAAAAAAAAAATGTGCTTAAGATCTTAAAGTTTTTTATTATCTAGCCCTGATTTTACCTTTTACCCATATAACATTTCATTCCAGTATGGATTCAGAAACCTCTGGAAGAATTAGTTAGGATCAGTGTTTATTCATGCACACATTGTTTTGTCTTGTGTTGAGTTTTTTTATTTCTTGTGATCATAAAGTGAATGTTTTAAAAGCCCTCCTGAAGTGGAACGAGCTCAATAAACATAACCTTGAAGTGAAAAGTTTTAAAAGTGTTAACTGTAAAGTGAATGTTTTAAAAACCCTCCTAAAGAAGAACGAGCTCAATAAACATAACCTTGAAGTGAAAAGTTTTAAAAGTGTTAACAATAAAGTTATGTTTTAAAAGTGTTAACTGTAAAGTGAATGTTTTAAAAGTGTTAACTGGTGTTGACAAGAACCTCTCCTTTCACAGGACTGGAGCTCCAAGATCCCAGAAAGAAACCCGATGCTTCATTGCTGGATGTTCTTGGATTGGTCAAGAAAGACACTCTGCCAGCATCAAGTACGTTCAGTGATCCAGAACCTCCATTAAGTTATCAGAGATACACATATATAGGCCTATCGAAAATTTGCTATAAAGAATTTGTCTGATAGGAATTCGTTCAAATGGAAATTTGTCGGGCGGGAAATTATTCAATTGGAAATTTGTTCATACGGAAGTTTGTTTCAAAATAACATAATGGGGAAAAAAATGAAGAAGAAGAAAATGTTATTAAACAATTTACATTTTTCCCATCTCTCACTCATAAGTTCCCTTAAGAAAAAATTTAAATAAATAAATCTCCTTTTAACAAATCATTTTGTTTTAAACAAACACCTCCGTTAATTTTATCAGAGATACAAGGAAGAAAAAATGCCAACTGCAATTTTTTCCAGATTTATTATGGTTTTTGTACCATCAAATTTATTTGTGTCTAACATTGCAAGATATAAACTGAGAAACTATTGGAACCTTTTTTTAATGAGTGTTTTATTGTGTGATATTACAGTAAAATATCTAATATATCTGTGTTCTTTAATCTGGAACAACTTGTTTTAAGGCATAAAATGTAAGCTGTGCCCATTCTGGGGGGAACACCACCACCCCCCCCCCCCTCGCCCCATCACACCATTTAGTGTTTAAAAGAACATGTTGATTTTAGCTCTCACCAAAGCCATTTTAACACACAAAGTATTTCCACCACAGTGCCCCGTCGTGACTCGCCGCCCCCTGAACCGGTGGACATGCCAGAGGTGGCAACATTGGATGTGTTGCCAAGGAGGCCGTCTCTCCTGAGTGATTCCAAGAAGAAAACATGGAAGAATACACCCAAGGTGAGGATCTATATTACAGGAGTCACAAATTTTTTTATTTGATAATAAATGGGATTGGGATAAATTGTTGTGCCTTGAGTCCTACAGATCACTTTGTTTCTTTTCTTCCTTTAGTGGGAAAAAGACGTGGAACCGTCTGAATCAAAAAAGAAAGATACCACGGCAGGGGCAGAGAATTTTGAGCAGGATGTCAAAGAAACGGATGCAAAAGCAGAAGGAGAATCGGATAAAGAAACAAAAATGGCAGATGTAGCCACACCGTCAGACGGTGATTCCAAGGAACCTAATGATGATGTCAGTGAGGATAAGCTGAAGCTAGAAGATAAACAAGATAAAGAAATTGAGATGATTGGAGACACCAACGAAACCCTTGAGTCAGATGACAATGTTTTGCAAGACAAAGGGGATGAGGCAGAAGGCGGTAAGTCAAGGGTGGAGGTTGCATCAGATGAGGAGGACAATCTTTTGAAAGATGATGTGAGTACTCCTCAAGATGTGGTTGAAGAAGAGCCTCTTGGAGAAAAGTTAAGAGTCAAGGATTCAGACCTTAGTGAGAAAGATGCTAAAGAAAATCAGATGGATGAAATGAGTTCTGATAACACAGAGTCGGTTGGCTCTAAAATTGGAGATGTCGAGAGAGAAACATCAAAAACTGAGAACACAGAAAGTAAGGCGACAATGGAGGCAGATGATGAGAACGAAAATAAGACTGAGAATAAGATTGAGAAACCAGAGTTGGTGAGTTGTTTTGAAGACAAGACAGAAATGCAAGCTCAGGAGGATCATGATAACAAGGATTACAGAGGTAATGATGAGGTTGAAGACCAGCGAGCCAGGTGCCAGAAAGGCAGTGATGAGCAGCCTAGTAGGTCTGACAGTGTAACATTAGATAGAAACAGTGAAGGCAATGATGATCACGTCAGTAGGTCTGACATTGTAATATTAGATAGAAACAGTGAAGGCAATGATGATCATGTCAGTAGGTCTGACAGTGTAATATTAGATAGAAACAGTGAATGCAATGATGATCAGCCCAGAAGGTCTGACAGTGTAACATTAGATAGAAACAGTGAAGAAAGTTTGGATAAAGTCAGTGAAAATGTTCGGTTACAAGTTGAGGTTCCAAGGCAAGATTCTTCAGAGAAAAATAGTGACAGCAATCATATGCAAGGCCAGGATCAGAGACAAGATGAGTCAGATGGTGACATAATTCAGTTACAAAGCCAAGTTCCAAGACAAGAAACCTCAGCTGAAAGTTTGGAGAAAGATGAAGATGATATTCAATTGCAAGATCAGATTTTGGGGCAAGATACTTCAGTTGAAAGACAGGATAAACCAAAAGGCTTGGTTGTGGATTACGGCAGTAGCTCAGATGAGGAAGAGGAAGTAATGAACCAAGTCAGTTTCAATGTGTCAGACATTCCACTACCAAGTAATGAACCAGATGCTACCGAGTATGTGATAGCTGATAAGGTCAATGAAGAGGAAAGCACAGCCTTCAGTAAAGGTCTTAGAAGTGAAAGTTGTGCTGGGCTGGTCTTGACAGAATACAGTGTTGAAGACAGCATCAGCAAATGCCCAGACGATATTGTCAAAGAGGATGACCCACTGGATGCTAATGTCAAGGAAACAGAAACTAAAAATGTGGAAGAACTGTCCAGCTACGAGGACAGCCAGTCGACAGACTTCAAGACTTTGTTCACTGATGCTCCAAACCTAGAAGGAGAACAAACAATAACAGCTGAACAGGACATGGACATAGATGAAGAAGAGTCCAGCGGTCATGTGCTAAATGAAGAATTGAATGGTGAAAAAGAGCCGCTGGCTTTGACACCTGGTGAAGCTTTCGATGAGCTGTCGTCAGACTCTGCACAGAAAGCAGACTTTGATGGGGAGCACCATGCCTCATCCAGCATCTCGGAGACTTCTGATTCTCAGCAAGTCACTCTGCCGACCTCGTCGTCCTCATCGTCGTTTAGTAATCTCAACAGAGCGGACCTGACAGAGCGTATCAGTGATGTGTTCTCTCGGGATTCTATTGGGGAGGGCAGCAGTGATGCCAGGGACTGGAGTGGGAACTTCCCGGCAGCTCAGCAGTCCTCAGGTACTTTAACTCTAGTGGACCCTGCAGGCCAAGAAAGTTTATTTTCTCAGAAAAGTTTTTTGTCTCAAGACATTGTCGTAAAGATTCCAGAGAAATTGTTGGAGTCACAAGCATCCACTGATGATGCTGTACCAGAAAAGTTTTCAGCAGCACAAACATTCACAGGTGACGTGGTGTCAGAGAAGTTTTCGGAAGCACAAGCATCCACTGATGATGCCGTACCAGAAAAGTTTTTAGCAGCACAAACATTCACAGGTGACGTGGTGTCAGAGAAGTTTTCGGAAGCACAAGCATCCACTGATGATGCCGTACCAGAAAAGTTTTCAGCAGCACAAACATTCACAGGTGACGTGGTGTCAGAGAAGTTTTCGGAAGCACAAGCATCCACTGATGATGCCGTACCAGAAAAGTTTTCAGCAGCACAAACATTCACAGGTGACGTGGTGTCAGAGAAATTTTTATCAGCACAAACGTTCACAGATGATGTGCCATCAGAACAGTTGTTAGAACCTCAAACGTCTGCTAGTCCAGCAGAGAAAGATGGGCCTTCCGGTAGTTTACAGTGTCCTGAGAAGGCTGCTGATTATCCTCCACAAGAATCTACTCAAGTATCATATCAAGAATTATTGCAGTCTGGCTCTCCAGTTTTGGCGTCTTCATCGCAGGAGCGTGACAGGGAACGCCGCGAGAGGTCCCGTTCTCGTGATCGCCATAGAGACCGCCGCTCGCGGTCCAGAGACAGAGATAGGCAGAGGGATAGATACAGAGATAGTGACAGGGATCGCAATAAAGACCGATTTGACAGGTGAGTTTTTCTTTCAATTTCTTCAATTATTAAATCCCCACCAGGCCATCGTGGCATAAGGAAGGTACTTAATGTTTTTTTTGTTTTTTTGTAGTTTTTTTTTAAAAGATAATTTTTGTTTGAAGTTAAATCTATAATTTTCACATCCTAAACTAAATGTTTTTTTATATTTCTTGGTGTTGATACTATTCTATTTGTAGCTTTGATTATTGATAAGTGTAGGAACATAACAAGCCATGGTGTTCATTGATCTGAAATCATTGACAGAATTTTCCTTTAGGAGTCATCCATAGAAGCCACAAATCTTCTGACATTGTTTCACCCTCCCCCACCCCTCCCTTTTCCCTTATGTCCACCTCTATCCACTTTGGAATACCCACCCCCCTTTATGGACATCCATTCTTAGTGATTCATCGCACAATCTTAATCTTATATCACATGCCTCCATGTGGAACTCAGTATTTGTATACAATTTGTTCATGTGAGGCATCAGTTACTGAAAAAAAGCTCTTTATACAGTAACACACGCACCCCTCTCACTTAGACATCTTCTAAAGATAACCATTTGAAAGGTTCAAGGGGAAAAACCAGTGATATCAGGTTTTGAGAAAAATTGAAAATCAAGTTTGAAAATGACTCATAAAAGTATAAAAATGTCAAGATGTCTAAGTATTTATTTATTGTCTAAGCTGCTTTTTCAGTTGGGCCTATGTGTGTCATATTATTCAAATGAATGGAATGTAGCCACAGGGGAGATAACAGAAATTTTGAAAAAACTGACATCACTGGTTTTTCCCCCGAACCCTTCATTTATTATTTTGATTTACTAGTGGTGCCTCTTGTACTGTGCTCATTTATTTTTTACTAAAACAAAATTAAATGTTGTATTTAGACCAGAAATTTGGTATTGTACATAGATGCATACTTTTAATTTCTATTTCAGGGACAGAGATCGAGATCGCCATTATGATAGAAGCCGTGACAGAGATAGGTATTATGATGGTAGTAGAGACAGAGAGAGAGACCGCAGCAGAGAGAGGGATCGCAGCAGAGACAGAGATCGGAACAGAGAGAGAGATCGCAGCAGGGAGAGGGATCGAGACGCAGGACGCAGCCGTGACAGGAGCCGAGATAGGGACTATCGTAGACAGCGCGATGATCGCAGACACCGATAAAGTTTACCTTGCTCTTGAGCAATTTTGTACAAACTTAACTCCTAAGTTAAATCTTTACTTGTCTCTATCATTGTCACATTCACATTTAAATTACTCACCATCTCCTTCAATAAAATAATCTACTGTGCGTGATAGGAAAAGGTAAGGGATAAGTTTACTCTAGGATTTTATTTTTTTTAAAATCACTAACCCATGGTTAGTTAATTTTGTCAAACCTTTTGGCTCAAGCTAAATTGATGGCATGACAAGATGATGTATTTACACATTCATCTGCTAATGTTAATTTTATGCAAGTTTCACATTGTTTGTTTTGCAGGTGTCAAATTTCTTTTATTTAAAAAAAAAATTTTTGCCATAAATATTGGATTGGTTCCATGTTACTGTTAAATTTCGTAGGCTAATTCACTTATGCACCTTCAAGACTGTAATTACTGTTCATGTAATGGCCTTTGTGTTCAATAAACCCCCACCACCTTCTAGTCTGACACACGATGGTTATGTGACCAAGGATTAGAATATTAGCATTTGATGACCCTCTTAAAACCGTTTGATGACCCTCTTAAGTCATATTATATGAATTAGGTGATCCTTGAGTTTTCCATTAAGATCCAGTCAGAAAGTAAACTCATTGCATTGATGGGCTTTTTCAAATTTTCTATGCTTTACATTGAGACACATTCAGCTTGCTAGCAAGACTGAGACACATTCAGCTTGCTAGCAAGACTGAGACACATTCAGCTTGCTAGCAAGACTGAGACACATTCATCTTGCTAGCAAGACTGAGACACATTCAGCCTGCTAGCAAGACTGAGACACATTCAGCCTGCTAGCAAGGCTGAGACACATTCATCTTGCTAGCAAGACTGAGACACATTCGATATATGAAATAAAATAAGAAAGAAAAAAATTGTGTAACGGTTTTGTAATTATTATAATTATACATTAGTATATAAAATACATTATCATTATAGAAATATTTAAATATATCATTGTTAAAAAATGAGACACATGCCAGGTTTCTCTATACGAAACAAATGATTACGGTGAAACAAATGATTACGGTGTTTTAGTAAATAACATTGTTTTTTTAAATTTATTTAAAAATATGTTATCTCATGACTGTAAATTATTAAATTTGTGGAAAATAAGTTAAAAACTTTATCTTGTGTAAATTTTGAATTTTTTGAATGTCCAATTATTACCCCCAAACCTTGATAGATTGCTGTGTTAAAAATTGTGCGTGTGGTCAAGGGAAGGTGTGTGGTCAAGGGAAGGTGCGTGGTCAAGTGAAGTTGTGTGGCCAAGGGAAGGTGTGTAGCCTAGGGTGTGATCATAGTAAAGATGAAAGAAAAGAAATGCATGTGTAGGTAGCCTCCATTATTTTTTTTTTGTCATTCTCAAAATGTCTGAGCATTGATATTTTGTGCTTCATAAATTATGAGTCTAAATTAGCAAAAATCACAACACTATGTAGAAACACAGTTGTAATAAATGATAACAACAGGAATTATCACCTAGACAATAACTCAGTTATAAATGTCAAAAATAAATATTCAAATGTTCAATATTTGTTTGTTAAATGGTCTGATGACCTAAATGTATATCAACTGTTTAAATGATGAGTCCATAACCTTATCCGTAATAAATAAAATTAAAAATGTTAATTTCACACTAGCAAAACTTAAACAGTGACATTGTGTATGTCATCTGTAGTCCTTTAAATATTGTAAATATATTTTTAGTGTTACAATGTTGATCTGTTAATGTCATTCATTTATTTACTACTTCAAGAGTTGGAATTTGATATGCTGTTGTTACAATATGTGTTTGCTGTAACACGACGTGTATTTTGTGTGTTGTATCACTTCACATAACTGGTGTGCTGTAAAACGTGTATTATGGAGCCCGTAACACTTTGTGTATCTGTTTTGCTGTAACATTTGTATTTCATGTGATGTTAAACTGTGTATCTAGTGTGCCGTAACACTTGTATTTCATTTAATGTAATGGTGTGCCGTATGATGTGCATCTGATATGCATGAAATGTGTGTGTTGCTGTAGTGTGCTGAATGATATCGATATGTATCTGACATGACGCCATGTTGCGGTATTGCTTCGTGAATTGGGCAAGCATGAAAGTTGAACAAGTGCGAAAATGCATAACTTATGCCTTACCTTAAAAGTTGTGTTTCTAAAATACTTTTGCAAAATAGTCAAATATTTACTGTATATTTATTTATCATTTTCCTGATGCTTGTTTGGCCACTCCAAAAATAGTTAATGTGTTAAGCTGAAATTGATGAAAAGTTAAATTGCGGTCATGTTTCAACAGTGACAGATCTACTGCATAAATGTTTTGTCCATTATGAATTTTTAAAAATTTATTTGGCTTCTCTGGAGTGAAATTGTATTTAACCGGCTGTATGTTTGTAAGTGACAAATATTATTTTTATTTTCTTTATTTTTAAAGACTTATAAAGAAATTGTAATATCATATTAAATTTTAGCAAAAGTCTTACCATATATTAAATGATAATAAATTGTCAAAAAAAACTTACTCATTCCTTTTTATTCTCTATCTAAAATTTGAATGAAAGGGATTAATTTAAATTAAGAGTCTGTGCAGTAAAATGCACTCCTCTGACAGTGATTAGTAAACTTAGACAAAGATAGGAAATAGTAGAAGATATGTCAAAAGTTGAAATGAAAAGACTGGACAATCAAAAGAATGTGTTAAATCGATTGTTAAACAGATCTTGTTCTACTAATTTCCTTCACAGGACTTGAACTTAGTCCCTAGTTTATTATCATTAGACAAACATTCTAAGAGAGAGGGGGGGGGGGGGGCTAAAAGAAGGTTAGGTAAAAGGAAATAATTTGGGAAAGGAAGGGGAAAAAAAAACTGAGGGACAAAAAAAGAAAAATACAAACTCTTGTGGTTCTGTAGGTATAATGACAATGTGATAGCGTGATAAAGCAATCTTTAGAACAGTGGTTCTCAACCTTCCTAGTGCCGCGACCGTTTAATACCGGTTCTCGTGTCGTGGCGACCCCCAGCCACACAATTATTTTCGTTGCTACTTCATAGCTGCAAGGATATGTGTTTTTAGGTGGTCTTAGGCAACCCCTGAAAAAGGGTCGCGCGACCCCCCCAAAGGGGTCGTGACCTACAGGTTGAGAACCGCTGCTTTAGACAGAACAAGTGAGCAACACAATGAGAAGTAAACCTAAATAAAATATATCTTTAAAAATTAGCTGATGCTGTGGAGAGTTCGTGAAAAATCTGTGGAATGGCTTAAATAAACTTAATATTTTTTTTTTAAATAGTTACATTCAGGTAAGTATTGGTGAGTTATAAAGTACGTCCATGGTATTAAAAAAAAAAAAAAAAAAAAAAAAATTATTATAAAGGGAGGTACCTCACAGAATCGAAGCTTGTCAATTTTTAATGGTTGATCTCACTTTCATAGCGACGGTCGCTAAGGTAGATAAAATGGCGTCGTTTCTGTTCAAGATTAGCTCTCATGTTCAATTGAAGGGTCATAGCCATTAACTGACGAGAAGTTTAGCTCACAACCCCCGAGGACTAAGTCGAGAGCAAAAATGAGCAACAAGTTAAACGTTAAAACGAAAGGAAAGGAATCGCGTCCTAAATCCGGCTCTGGTGGCACTACTTCTACTACTGGCACTGGTGTGTTGAATTATTATTAAATTCATTGTATTTTGAATGGTATTAAATTCATGATCATTATATGATTAATCTTGAAACAAATTTGAGTTAGTTAGGTCGAATAATAGCACCCCCCTCCCAGAAATGTCCACTCATAAT